TCGATATGCAAGGTTCACAAATGAGACGACTGTGACTGCTCGGCCCACCGGATTGTGAATATGATATCTGGGGAATTCATCCATTATTAGCAACTTAACTATGTCTTACATTTACTATGGTCAAAAATGAAAAAAAAATATTAAAATCCTATTGTAAATGCTAGGAAACATATTATTCAAAAAAAAAGTAAAAAAAAAACCAATTGTACCTAAATGCTTTTTTTTTATACCACGTCGGTGGCAATCAGGCATGCGGCCCGCCTGATGGTAAGCGGTTACCGCAGCCTATGGACGCCTGCACCACCAGGGGCATCACATGCGCGTTGCCGACCTTTTAAGAACCTATTTACACCCCTTTTGAAGGACCCCATACTGTAGCCCTCTGGGAAAACCTTGACAGGGAGTTAATTCCACAGCGCAATGCTAGGAAATATATTCAAAAAATAAAAAGTAGTCTAATCTGTTAACAAATTACAAAATGAACAATTAAAACTAAGAATTACCCTCTTCATTATGTGGAAGTGTACACATAACTAGGACAAATCATCAATACTAATATTATAAAGAGGCAGAGTTCGTTGGATTGTTTGAATGCTATAATCTCAGCAACTACTAATCAAATTTGAAAAAATCTTTTTGCATTAGATAGCCCATTGATTGAGGAAGGCTATAGGCTATATATATCATCCCGGAAAAATGTACGGTTCCCGTGGGATAGATTTGTTTTTGTCTAGAGACAAACCCGAAGCGAAGCAAGAGCACTATTCTCAAATAAAGACCAAACAACCAATAATATTACATATATAGCTGGTAAAAATGGCACTAAATGGGACGTGAAACCTCCTGAAATCCACTCAGTACATAAATTAAATGAAAAGTATTCAATATTTATATTTTTCCTGCCTCATACCTGCCTAGCTGTGTAACTAAATCCCTAACAGAACATCATAGAGACTTACTACACTAGCCAAAGTACCACCAAGACAAGCAACAGATAAAGTGATACCCTCTCCCAAATATTCCTACACCTAATTAACACCTCCAGGTAAATCTAAGAAATTAATTAAATTTCGAAGAAATCTATTATTAACTGTAACGCCGGCGTGTCCGCGGTCGTGGAGGGATTGAGTAATTTCTAAAGAAATGAGATGAAATAAACTTTATTCAATTGGACTTATTACAAGCACTTTTGAATCATCAATTTAATTTAAGCGTCAGTGTAGTCAGTCCGTGGGGAAGCTACCACCGGCTTGGAAAGTAGTTTTATCAGGGCAGAATTAAAAAAAATATAACCCACTTATCTAGTGGAACTTTCCATATACTACAGCCCCGAATAACTATACAAACATATAAAACTGGAGGACATACACATGATATAGTAATTAGTGAGTAATGTCTTTTTTAACATCCCACTGCTGGGCAAGGGCCTCCCTTCAATACAAGGGGATCAGGTCCACCAGTTCACCACGCTGGCCAAGTGCGGGTAGGCGGACTTCACATGACTTTCGAAAACTTGTTAGGTTGTCTCAGACATGCAGGTTTCCTCATGATGTTTTCTTTCACGGTTAAGACAAGTGGTAATCATGTTGGAAATGATTCTCACATGAAAATATCAAAGGTGTAAGACCCGAGATTTGAACCCGCTTCACTTGGTTTTCCAAGTGAGCACATTACCGTTGGGCTACCACTGTCTTATAGTAATGATAGACAAAAAAAACAATACACTATAATAGTGTCAACACCATAGAAGATATTAGAGTATGTAAAAAGAAAGGCGTTCATCAAGCTTACTTAAGAGCTTTACTATATACAATCTACACATTTTTCACATTTAAGATAAAATCTTATTGATTACTTGATTTAATAATCGGATAAATGCCAAGAGTCAATAAAATTATTAAAGTTTCAGCTCTTAAAAAATTGATTTAATTATGAGTGATATTATTATTACCTATACTAATATTATAATTTATACTAACATTATAAAGAGGTAGTTTGTGAGTTTGTGCGGTTGTAGGGGGTAATCTGTAGATCTACCGAACTGATTTACATAAAATTTGATAAGAAGATATTTGAGACCCTGGGAAGGACATAGGATAATTTTTATCCCAGAAGTCATCCCTTAAGGGAGGAAAATGGGGGTGAAAGTTTGTATGGGGAAGCAAGCTAGGGTTGAACCCAAGTGAAGAGAAGGTAAGTCGCTTGTGTTAGATATTTTTACTATATATATCTCAATCCATCATGGATAGCATTCAATATACTAAAAACCAGCTTAGAAATTATTTGAATATTTTTACCACAGGAAAATATCTCATTTCTGAAAAAAAATACAAAAACTGCAATGTAAGAGTATACCAATATGTAAAACCTAAGAATTTGGTTTTAGGTCATCTGAACGCAGGCGGAGCCGCGGGCAATGCTAGTATCAAAATAAAATAAGCTTTATTGTATTTAATAAGTCATCACATTAATGTAAAAATAAGGTAATTCATTTATTTACATCATTGTATTATTATTTTTTTTAAATAAGGGTACATTACAAACTAAAATCAAACAAGACATATTTGTCTTTCCTACATCAATAAATTTTCATTATCGATTTTACAACCCGACTGAATAGAGGAGTAGCTACAAGTATTCCTAGTAAGAACAACAACAACAACATCTAAACTCGGTTGGATTATACTATACAAAAAATAAGAACGCTATAAAATGGACGCCTACATATAAAAAGCCGAATTAATTTATCGATGAAGTATACTTACATTTAAATCAAAAGTTTCAGATAACATATCTGCATAAACTTCTCTTTTTCCCATCCAAAAATATTCAGTAGAAATGTCTTTGTAGCAGCCTTCGGTAAGACAACATCGGCAAACCGTAGGCCCGGGTCGCCATTCTGTCGTCTTTGCTGCCATTTCTCACACAATTTACACTTATTTTCACAGAAAATATTAGCATCACATATTATTACTAGCTAAACATATCTATTACTATTAATCATAGGCCGTTATAACGCAATTTTAAGGAAATCATCACAAATCCACAATGAGACGCCATTGACGACGAAAAAGCGACAACTACAAGCGTTGGCGGCGCTGGCGTCAAATCTGAATTCGTCAAACATTGAAGTCAGCAATTACACTGCCAACTGTAAAAAAATAATGTTAGAGATGCTTACTACAATAAAATGCGCAAACTTATCGATTACCTGAAATTAAAGTCAAGTAAAACTCCGCATAATTTTGATTATATCCATCTATATACTAACCGATTTTATATAAACATGGTCTTTAAATAAAATGACGTCGCAATTAAAACTAAAAGGTGTTCTTTTATCTGATCTCAAAATAGTTTTATTCATGTATGATATTTTTTAACAATTATACTTTAAAATATTGTTTCAAAATTATCTATTTCAATGATAAAAAAAAATCTTATAAAAAATGGGAAGGAATTTCGCCGTTTTCTCCCACCTGATGTCACTATTACTATGGCCTTCAGTATATTGTAAAGCTCTACAGCGTGGATAGCAACGCGTCGGTGGTTTTGTTTTCATTTAATTTAAAGTTTAATTAAAATGTTACAGTGCCGGATAATTTTGACGTGTATTTGCATTGAGTGGGGTCAAAGTAGGTATTTTAGTTTCCCCCCCAACGTGCGTTCACCTTGTCGTGGTGGGGGGCTCAGTAGTGCCCGGCAACCCAACCGGGCGCGAAGCCAAGAAACGCACAGGGAGGTGGCCCACTTCGGTGGGCGGTGGGAGGTGGCCCTCTTCGGAGGGCAGTGTACCATGCGGGTTGCTCCTGGTACTTCTCTGATAGCAGAGTGGACTGTGGAGCAACCCCGTGGTTATTGTGGTCTGCTTCGGCAGACCTGCCGTCGGGGAGTCGTAGTTGAATGCGTAAGCGATCCTGCGACGCCCCATTAAGACGGAGGAAGGTTTCGTTGGGTTTTAGTGTGTAGTACTGGCTTTGCCGGTGAGTCCCACACCTCGTGCGTAAATGCATTTCCTAACATTAAAAAAAAAAAAAGGTATTTTAGTTTCCCCCCCAACGTGCGTTCACCTTGTCGTGGTGGGGGGGCTCAGTAGTGCCCGGCAACCCAACCGGGCGCGAAGCCAAGAAACGCACAGGGAGGTGGCCCACTTCGGTGGGCGGTGGGAGGTGGCCCTCTTCGGAGGGCAGTGTACCATGCGGGTTGCTCCTGGTACTTCTTTGATAGCAGAGTGGACTGTGGAGCAACCCCGTGGTTGTTGTGGTCTGCTTCGGCAGACCTGCCGTCGGGGCGTAGTAGTTGAATGCGTAAGCGATCCTGCGACGCCCCATTAAGACGGGGGAAGGTTTTGTTGGGTTTTAGTGGGTAGTACTGGCTGTATTACGCCGGTGAGTCCCACACGTCGTGCGTAAATGCATTTCCCAACGTTAAAAAAAAAAAAAAGGTATTTTAGTTTAGCATATTCATTTGATATTTTAAGTCTTTTTTTATGTTTGATTTAATATAAAGTTGTTTAATGGAGAACTGGTTACAATGACTTGCTTTTCTAATGTTAGTACTTTCTTTTATTCTTATAAAACATGAATAAATCACTTGAAAAAAAATATTTTCGAGTATTCTGCTCATGGTTGGCGCCAGCGGGAAAACCGGGTATTTTAAAATTTTTTGGTCGGGTAATTCAACGACTGTTATCTGGCAGCCCTGCTCTTGTCGTTCTCTGGTCTGTGGTTGCGTCTTTTAGTGTCAAGTGTCACATATTGGTTATTTATTGATATATCTTTGTTTTGACTTTTGCGTTATAAACAATATTCTTAATTTTAAATTTATTAATATCAATTTAATTCATTGAATTGTACTCGTAATATTGTTATAAAATCCTTAATATTAATAGTGAACAATACATTTAATTACATTAAGAAAACTCGCAAAATCATAAGATTTTTGGAGATAATTGAGTTCTCTTTCTAGAATTAGAAATTTATATCTATATATAAATAATTAAAATGCAACCTGTCGTTAACATATCTACATTTTTGTCGTCTCCTTATGTATGTCGCTGTTGTCATTCTATCGGCTATTTTAAGGATTTATCAGCTGAATGTAATTCGGAAGGCAAAGAGCTCTACGAAGATTTACTTAAGATAACTTTTAATATTGAGGTAAAAACTAGTTGTCGTTAGCTTTGTTGTTTAATGTCATATAGTCAAGCATAATCTATTTTTGTTGATGCTCCAAAAATATATTAAAATATTCAATTTTGTTGCTAATGTTAACAAAACGTACCATGCCACATAGAATGGAAAAGACACTAAAGAGGAAATTCAAACAACAAACAATCCTTTATTTCCTATTCAGTACCTATGCATAAAAAATAATAACTTTTTATTGTTTTTCATAAAACATATGCAATTCTTATTGATAGCTTATGATTGAGATTTTTGGTTTGGCAATATTTACATCTATATTTTTCTTTATAAAGTAAATGTTTTATTATATCTCAGAATAACTTTCCATCTAAAAATAATTATGTGACTGTTTATTATTAGAAGTTTTCTAGATATCTTTATACAATAATGGTAAGATGCAATCCAGTAAACAAATATGCAACAACTGTATCAGTCAGTTGATGCAGGCATTCACTTTTAGAAATATGGTTATTACAAGTGAAAATAGAATGGCTGAATACTTTAAAGAATTACAAAAAAATGGTAAGTTCAGTTTAAGATTAATGACAAATATAATTGTATAAATTAAAAGAATAATATTATATAAATTATTAAAATTTGAACATATTTTGTCTATATTTATACAAAAAAATAGAATTAAAGTGTCTATTTGTAATGTCAAAATAACAGCTTTTTACTAAATGCATTTTAAAGTATATATGGTGCTTACAACAAAAGAACAATTTTGAAAACTTTTTTCTGTCTGTCTGTTAATTGTGGATAATCTTTGAAATAGCTGGACCGATTCTGACAAAACTTTCACTGGCAGATAGCTGATTGACTGTTATAAAGAGTAACTTAGCCTAAGTTACTCCTTTTATTTTAGAAAAAAAGTTGCAATTTTTTTTTTAAATTGTGAAAAAAATCTGTGTAGTTTGAGCACCCAAGCAAAGCAAGGGTGAGTCACTAGTTTATGCAAAAATTATAAAAAAAAGAAATGTTACTTATAAACTACTGAACTGATTTTAATGCAACAAACATTTACAACTTCATTGTTAGCAATGATTTTTTTAGAAAATGATGTAACATTTGATGAGACAATTATTAAAACTGAGATATTGCCAAAAGAAGAGATTAATGATCAAGACTGTATAGAGAATGATAACAATGATGATGACTCCAATGATGAGTGTAAGTTATTTTTACTATAAAACTATAAACATTAATTAAATTGAAGTGTCTATTTGTAATGTCAAAGTAACATCTTTTTACTTAATGCATATGATTAGATAGGTGTGATTTTTTGTATGGAGAGATTTTTTGGTTGGAGAGTGGATAGGCTACTTTTTACCGCAGGAGATTATCTAATTCCCACGGCAAAACACTACATACTACTACATTATTCATAACGGTAAACTTGATATTAATGCTCTTCAATACAATTAAATAAATACATGTTTTAGCATTTTTCAAAATTCGTCCAATAAGGAGGTAAAATATGGGATGAAAGTTTTTGTGAAACCTATCTTTTTAGAGTTTTTTTTTGTAGTTTTATCATGAGTGAAGCCAGTTAATTATAATAAAATTGTATTTTAAAAGATATACTTTCAAATTTCAGATGTCATCATCACAGAACTGAGTGAACCAGAGCCTGATGTAGACGATGAAACACAAGCGAAAAACAGAAAATCAAAAAGGCTTAAAACTACTGAGGGTATGTTCTCTTTTAATTTTTGTTTTAATTTTTTACACATTTTAACTAGCCTCTTTTTAAACCCCGATGCAATAAAATACGTGTTATATGTTTAACATGTATATGAGTGAGTCTGTCTGTGGCATGGTAGCGCTCAAACTGATGAACCGATTTTTTTTTCGTTTGAAAGATGGCTTGATTGAAAATATTCTTGAATAAGTCAAAGAAAATCCGTTCATTTGTAGGCCAACAACTCTTTTTTAGACGGTATATGGATATGAACGACTTTCACAGATCTAATCGATTCTATACTTCTGTTAACTTCTATTTATTCCTTATTTTATTTATTGTATTTATTCGCTTGGATTCGTCCCTAGGTACGTTTTAATGGTTAGTATGAAATACAAACCTTTGCATTTTTTGGTTTTTCGGTACATTATACATATATACATGTATTATACATATAAACCTTCCTCTTGAATCACTCTATCTATTGCTGAAAACTGCATTAAAATCCGTTAAGTAGTTTAAAAGTTCTAAGCGAACAGACAGTGGAAGCGACCATGGGCATACCCGGTTTTTGGTCTGGGGGAGGGGGGGAAGTCCCCCATGCTTGTTTTACCCTACACACTACATGAAGAGTAAAAAAAAACCGAATGTCCATTTTTATTTTGCGGAAACTTTTTATTATTGTGCAACAGATTCCACACTACACACAATATCAACTATTTTTTTTAAATACGATACTATATGATAGACAAACGACAACCCCTCGATTCGCTTGGGTGCGTCCCTAGGTACCTACGCGGATTTTGTTCACAATTTCATGGTTTTTTTTTGCGCGGATCCCAAATTATTTAAAAAAAAGTAGCTGAGTTTAGCTGTTACCAGGGTGCGCCGGCGTTCTACAGAAGCGCGCCTAGTTTAAGCTAAACGCTGTTTAATGTAGACCAGGGTCGATAATTTTTGTAACCAAAAAAAAATAATAGTATGATGAAACCCATTGGAAACGGAAGAGAATATAACAAAAATGAAAGGAAAAATAATTTACGGGCGACCTGAGGTCGGGAAGTGGAAGGGGGTGAGTTTTTAAGGGTAAAAAAACGGCTTATCTCGATTTCTGGCAAAACTACAAGTCCTATGGAAAAAAGTTAAATGGCAAAGCTGTAGGTAATAAAAAAACAATTGAATGAAAATATTTTTTTTTTGTTTTTTGCTTTTTTTCATAAAATACTAATTTTTTTTAGCTTTTTTTGAAAAATACCATATTTCGCCGAAGAAATGTAAGCAACCCAAGTGTGTGTGGACGTTTAATAGGAAGAGTGATGAATTATTGTGTCGCTCCTAAACATAGTGATGTTACTTTTTCTTATAGTTTGTCCATTTTATTAATAGTGTTTTTAACAGCTCACGGCCATGAAGTTTCGTATTGTTTTAGTTAAATTTCATACAAATAATATTGTACTTCATGGACGGGTACCGCCCCCTTAGTGATGTGCACATTACGATTACTACGATTGTGCCACAGATTACAAATAATCGGTAGAAATAAATGGTAATATGTAAATAAGGTGTAATATGTTATTTAATCAGGAAGACAACAAAATTTTAAGGTAGAAACCAATAAATTAAAATATTATTTTTTTGAGTTAAGTGACTTGAAACCAATTTTAAATGTAACCTCTATATTTAAAAGAGCAACTGTTGAGTTTCTCGCCGGTTCTTCTCAGCAGAACTGCTTTCCGAGCCGGTGGTAGCTTCATCACGGACTGACTACACTAACGCTTTCATTAAATTGACGATTTAAAAGTACTTGTAATAAGTCTAATTGAATAAAGTTTATTTCATTTCATTTCGTTAACATTATATAAAGTTTTACTTTCTTCTTAGTATAAGGCATACAATAAAAATGGCGGCCGGACAGACGGTCGGTTGATGTTGCCAGTTGACGTATATATAATTTTTACGATGATAATATTCATTTTCATATTAATAAATATGATAATAAACATTATATTTTTTACAAAAAAAAGCGATGTCGATTATTACGTCCTTTAGGACATCACTATAACTTGTCATTCGTCGAGCTGTCAAAAAACTATTAATAAAATGGACAAACTTTAATGGACGAATTTTTACATTCAACTTGTATTTACAGAGAAGAGCGTGCTCAAACAAACGAACCCTTCAGTGTTTTAACTTATTTTTTTTATTTATAGACCAATCACAACCAAATGACAAAACGAACTGGTTAAAAATCGCCGAGCGACGTGGACCTGGACCGATATTGAGAAACAATTCACTAAAACTTATAGAAAATTCCACGATGTTTGTGTTTCAGTGGAATAAAAGCAGATATTATTGTTACATTTGCAAAGAACCCTTTATTGAAATTTCTTCATTGAAAGAACACTACGACACACATTCTCTAGAAAATTTAGAGAGAAAAATAATAAACGAACAAAACAGATTGGTGAAAGTAGAAATTTCAACTCTAAATTGCCTAAAATGTTATGAAAATTTAAACAACATTGAAGATTTACAACAGCATTTGATAAATAAACACAATATGGAGTTTCCACTACACGATAACTTGTTGATACCATTCAAAATACAAAACGAAGGTCTGAAATGTCAAATATGTTCAGAAAACTTCGATCGATTTAGACTTTTGAATATCCATATGAATAAACACTATCAAAATCATGTCTGCCACATTTGTGGGGCCAGTTTCACTAATTTAGTGTTTTTAAATCTCCACAAGAGTAGATCTCATAAGACATACCACTGTCTGGAATGCGATCTAAACTTCGACAAACAGACAGACAAAAAGAACCATGACATCAGCGTGCATAATGTGAAATTTGAAAGGAAATCGAGATTCCCGTGTCAGTATTGCGATGAGAGATTCTTTCAGGAAAATCTTAAAATTCAGCATCTAGTTGAGAAACACGGTATGGACAAACCAAACCACAAATGTCCATTGTGCCCCAAACATTTTATAACTAAAAGTTTATGCAACAACCACGTTAGGAATGTACACAAGAAAGAAAAAAAACATGAATGTGACATCTGTCATAATATTTTTTATACCAAATCTGACGTAACGAGACACAGGGTGACACACACTGGGGAGAAAAACTTCTCATGTGATACTTGTAACACTCTATTCGCGACCAAGGATTCCTTGACACGCCATATAAAAAGAGCTCATGTTGTTAATAATTAAATTGGTTTTTATTTGTTTTATTTATAATCTACAAATTTTCGCCCGTGGCTTTGTATAGCAAGACATCAAACCCCATGAAGTTCTACGTGAAGCTCTCCGAGGCACGGGGGTGAAACACCGCCAATATCCCAACTCCGGACTGTTACTGAAACTTACTAAACAGAAAAACTCGATAACTAAACTTGGCCGGACCCGGGATTCGATCCCAGGACATCCGAGTGTGCAGCCGAACATACTAGCCACTACACCACCAAGGCAATTAAAGTATATTGCATAAGTTACATATATAGGTACTGCAAGGATGTATAGCAGAGGGCCTCAGCTTTAGTAATGCTGGAATTTTATTTCTGAATCCGATTTATCTTAACGAAGCTAATAATAATAATAATAATGTATTTAGTTGAAAATATTCTCTTATTTTCTCACAACATATTTGCGTAGCACCTTTAAATTGATACATTTAAAACTAAAATAAACATTAGCCTGAAGACAATTTTATTTATTCTACATAAATGCAATAATTTCTGCAAAATTAACCATTATTGCAAAATTCTTATTAGCACTTAATTATTATCCATTGTTCTAATTTCTCAATCATCTCAATTTAAAACTGAAAAATAGGCCATGAGTAAAAAAAATAACCACTGGTAACACTGTTTAATACGTCATGATATGACATCAAAATTGTCAAAAAACAAAATATTGATGCAAAAATTTTTAAATTTCAAATTTGGCTATATGTATGTATTATTATTGTTTTGTATAAAGTTAGCTCAAAATGAAAAGTAACAAAAATTATTATTTTTATTAATATGTTATTCTTTTTTTTTAAATATGTTAATATTACCAACATAATAATGTTATTGTTGTGGTTTGTGTCGGTCTTACAAAAATCTAAATCTTATACATATACATATACTTAATAAAATTGTAACTAAGCCGAATCTGTACATTAAATATTTTTTTGCAAATCTTATTGAAATAGACATTATTATCGATACAGAGGCCGAATCTATAGTTTTTAGAATTTTTGTCCGTCTATCTGTCTGTTACCGCATCACAGAAAAACCACTCGAAGGATTTTAATGAAATTTGGTATGATGATAGCTGGTTATCCGGGTCAACATATAGGATACTTTTTACTGCGGCAAAATATCTCATTTCTGAGAAAAAATACAAAACTGCAATGTAAGAGTATACTAATATGTAAAACCTAAGAATTCGGTTTTTGGTCATCTGAACGCGGGCGGAGCCGCAGACAACGCTAGTTATAATATAATAAGTTTGTGAGGATGGATGTTTGTTACTCAAATTTTCCGTTCGTGTAATTTCAAATGACCTTTTAAATTACATTTTTGTGTAAACGCGCGACCACAAACCGAACAGATAAACCTCTTATCATTATTATGTATACGCATATGTTCTCTGAGCGTTTTTTTCCTCTGGTACGACTTATGACATATGTTACATGAATGAATGTGTTCCCCATCATGTTTTATCATGTGCATTTTCAACGAATTCCGTGTATAGAACGCTAAATCACATTTATTGCACTTATGGTTCCTCTCGTTCAGATGGTCTCGTCTGACATGACTTGACAGATGACCGGGAGTTATATAACTCTGGGTACAGGCTTTGCATTTGTATCGTTTCAGTTCTTCATTGTGAACTTCAGCCAAATGTTTTTGACGTGCGTAGAAAGAGGAGAGCGATATGTTGCATCTCTTACACGCATATCGAATACCAGATTTATGTTCTTTCGTCACATGGTGTTCTCTTTTAGTTAATCTGTCGAAAACCGCATCGCAGTATCGACAAGGGAAAACAGCTGTTTCATGCGTCTTCATATGTCCTCGTAACCTGCCTTTAGACGCAAAAGCCTTTCCACAACTATCGCAAATATAATTTGGATAGTGTACGTTCATATGGGTGTTCAAACTGACAAAATTTAAAAAATTCTCATCACATATCGGGCAATCCAACTGATCTTTATCCAATTTGAACGGCAAATTGTTCCATCCCGTACTAGTTTTGACTGATGATCGAGGATGACGGACTGAGAGATCCGCTTGCTTTTTGACTGAATAGGAAACTTTTGTTTTTATTGTGCTCAATTTTTTTTTCCTCGTCCGCCTCGGTCTATATTCGTCTGACTTCTTCTTTATTATTAAATCGCTTAAGACTGAAATAAAATATAAACAAAAAATTATTAAGTAAAAAAAATACATAAAAATTCTAGAAAAAATCGTGACAACTGTATTTGAAAAAAAATCTTTTTTTTTAATTTGATTCGTGAGCATACACATAATTAACGATTTACAAAATCTATTTTTTTTTTATTACTTTATAAATAAATTTGTCCGTATTACTGACACTAAAAGAACATAGTGGATAGTGAGGCAGTAGAAATTTACGCGTTTTGGTGATATTTAAAAAATTAGGCCATGCGTCAATTGTTTATATATAAAAAAAAGCTACAAATAAAACGAGAAAATGAATGTATATATAAATAAAAAATATGTACATACCAGTATCATCAAAATCACTATCATCCTTTTGTTCAACATTCCTTAATATATTATCACCTGAAAAAAAATCATATAAAAAAAGCTTTCCAATCACTTTCTAAGTGCAGAAAAATATTGAATATATACATTTATTAAAAAAAACAAGTGTGCTTTAGACCACACGACTGAAGTAAAACTTCTTTAGCTCCATCTATATGTGTATATATATATATATATATATATATATATATATATATATATATATATATATATATACATGTATATACATTATACATATATTAATTTTCTACAAATATTTAAATTTATTATGGGTTTTCTAGTCTAATCAACAAGTGCCTTTTAGGTCAACTTTTATCAGCAGTCATAATTAAAATTAATCATTCCTTTTAAAAAAAACAGAGAGTTGTGACATACGGGATGAAATTTTTAGCTATTTTTGTTCTGTTTCGCCAAAGAAGTATAACTTCTTACGCGCGTACATAAGTACACACACACGTTTTTATATATTAATATTTTGATTTGTTTTAACACCTCCAGGTAAATATCTAAGAAATTAATTAAAATTCTACGAAATCTATCGTTTAACTGACACGCCGGTGTGTCCGCGGTCGTGGACGGATTTAATTGTGGTATTTACCACAGCGCCAAAAAAGTTTTACTTCAACTGCGCGTAAATGTTACACGCACTCATTTTTTTTTATGTTTTGTAATGTCGTCGTACTTTAAAGTCAAAGTTGAATCACGAAGGTCTGATTGTTATTTATTATTTCCCGACGGATTATTACTATGAACAGAGAACGATATAAATATTTATACTAATATTATGAAGAGGTAAAGTTTGTGACGTTGTAGGAGGTAATCTGTGGATCTACAGAACCGATTTAGATGAAATTTAGTAAGAAGATAGTTTGAGACCCTGGGAAGGACATAGGATACTTTTCATCCCGGGAATCATCCCTTAAGGGATTGAAAATGGGGATGAAAGTTTGTATGGGGAATCAACAAAATATGAGCCTAAAAAAAATTTTTATCAACAATACAACATATATAATTGCAATAATAATTACGATTCGATGTAGATGTTATCATTTCTTCACTCACGATATTTTCGCGTACATTTTGATTTATTTATTGCTTTGTGAAATCCCTCTTCTAGTTAGATCTTCGGATATGCTGTTTATTGTTGATGGACCAGCCCTTTGATTTACTTGTGATGATGACGTGTCGTCTTATAGCATTATAGGCGTAGCTAGGGGGGAGTAAGATTGGGCGATGCCCACCCTAGAAACTTCTTCGCTCACCCTCTACAGTATTGAAGAATTATTAACCATTTAATAGCTTTTTAACTAAAGATTCAATACCTATCCTCGTAAAATTAATTTATTCAAAATCTATATCATAAAAATCATTTCTCGTTACTCGTCTCTGTCACAGTTTGTAAGTGTGGAATGCTACTTGCTTACCACGCGAGAAAAGTGCGGCTATACGAGACGAACCGTATGTTCAATATAGATTTAGCTATTAGACTGTCACCTTTACTAAGAAGTTAAGAAATAACACGCAACATGGTAAAAGGAAGTACGAATGAATTGCATTATTAATTTATGATCTCTTATAAATGACTGTGGTCAGTTTAGCTGAACGGCTGACCCCCCCCCCCTTCACCGCTGCCCCCTTCCCCTGCCACCTCCCCCTCCCCTGCCCCCCTCCTCCCATCCCCTAGACAAAATCCCTAGCTACGCCAATGTATATCATCTAAATCTTGATCACTTTGCTGCTTTAACAGTATTTTCTTTGCTCTAAGTAAGAAAATGCAAATAAGAATTTGACAAGCCTCCAATGGTCAAGTTTTATAAATAAATTAATATTTACATTTTTTTTCTCTGCCGATATTCTCGCATGCGTTGAGCTGCAGTTTTCGCCTGTTTTTTTTTATGATTCACTAACGCATTTTTTTTCTCTCTCCATCGCCGTGTTGCCTCTGCAGATCTTGCTCTTTTTTCTATTATCCTTATTTCAGAAGGTCCATGGACTTGATTGTCTTCCGATGGACCATCACTTCGAAAATATTCCGTGGCAATTTCAACTATTGCATCTAGTTCCTGTTGTTGCTTAATTTGTTGTTTAAGCAGTGCTCTTCGTGCTCTGAACTCTCGACCACGTTCCGCAGAAGTTTTTGGCGCTCTATTCAACCTATAATTTCATCATTTTAATTTGGTACATTTAGTAAAATATTATTAGAGTCGTCATGAATGCTCTATACAGATAAATAAAATTGAAGTGTCTGTTTGTAAGGTCAAAATAATAGCTTGTTACTAAATTCATATGGATGTATACACAGTACATGTACCAAAACAACATTTTTTACAATTTTTGTCTATCTGTCTGTTTGTTCCGGCTAATCTCAGAAATGGCTGGACCGATTTTGACGGGACTTTCACTGGCAGATAGCCGATGTAATAAGGAGTAACTTAGGCTACTTTTATTTTAGAAAAAAAGAAGGTCCCACGAAAATAAATTAAAACCAATGAAAAATTTAATAATATCCGATTCAAATAGGGAAGTTGTATACATACCCATATAAAAATTACTTGAATAAAAAATAATTTACCTAACACCAATAATTTGTCTCTGTTTTTCTACATGATCTATAGCGGGATTTTCATCATAAACTTCCATTTGTTTATCGTCTTGTTTAATCACGATGTCACCAATTATTTGTAATGATGAACCTCTACAATTAATATGTATTTTATTATTTACGTATTAGTTAAATTTTATGTTATTCTATTATAAAAATTTGCTAATATAAATTGTAGAAACGCGAGGCCGAAATACGGAAGAGTAACAAGGAGAATGAGAGAGAAAGAGAGAAGAAAAGGATAGAGAATCAAACGCGCCCCAATGTCGAGAGTAGAATGCCACGTATTACTAGAGGGAAAAAATAGATAAGGAAAAAGAAACGCGCATATGACGCTAGGATGCCAGGAATTAGTATGAAATACGCACTCACCTTCGTGATTCATTATCAGTTGATTGAGTCTCACCAGGTTTAAAATTTTGCTTTGAATATGTTGTCACACACTCTTTATGCAAGATTTCCGTACGTGATTTCTTCTTAGTTGATGGTCCTGGAGCACCGCTTTCATGTTCAGAGTCTGTGTCACTTCCTGCCATAATTTGTTATAATTCACCCGAAAATTCACATAATATGAACTTTAAAATGAATTTACAATTGTATTCACTTTAAACGTAGAACATTTAATGTATTGAACAAAATATTAATTTATAAAATTGTTCAAGAACGAAATGAAATTACGAAAAAAAAACGTGTGTGTACTGTAAGCACGTAAGAAGTTATACTTCTTTGGCGTAACAGAACAAAAATAGCTAAAGATTTCATCCCGTATGACACAACTCTCTGTTTGTAAAAGGAATGATAAATTTTAATAAAAACAATTAAACACATATTAGCCATATTACAATCATATATTTATAGAATATCATTTAAGAAAAGTTACCATGGCAACAAACGTTCGCCTTGCCCGATCACACCTTTCGTAACTCTTTCGTGACGCGATCACCAGCTTACTCCCCAAGACAAGCGTGCGTAAAGAAGTTTTACTTCAAAAGAGATATTGGGACATATTTAGGTTTTGGGTTGTAAATAAATTGTTTTTTTGGCATAGTTTTTTTATTGTACACTAGCTTTTTTAGTCAGTTTATATTTATGTATAATTAATTATATCTTTATAAATTATAGCTTATGAGTTAACCTGATTTATAAGCTACTAGCGACTCACCATCCTTTCGCTCGGGTTCGTCCCTAGGTACGTATCAACGGTTAGTATGGAATAGATGGATTATATTCATACTAATATTATAATTGTGAAAGTGTGATTGTTTGTTGTTCTTTTACGTCGAAACGAAGTGACGGAGTGGGGTGATTTTTGATTTAAAACTTTATTACGCACGCTTGACTTGGGTAGTATGCTGGTGAATGCGTGAGGAGAGCGTTACGAAAAGTGTGATCGGGCGAGGCGAACAATTGTTGCCATGGTAACCGTTGTTATTTTCTGACAAATTTCATTTATTTCATTTGACATACGTTGTTCATACTGTCGAGTCGGATGTCGGAGTTGTGACATACGGGATGAAATCTTTAGCTATTTTTTGTTCTGTTACGCCAAAGAAGTATAACTTCTTATGTGCGTACATAAGTACACACACACACACGTTTTTTTTTTGAAGTAAAACTTCTTTAGACGTGATTGAGGGGTAAGTCAATACATTAGGAAAATGAATGTCGCGGAAGGAAAAGAGTCAAAATTATTAATAATTAAAAAAATACATATATATTTAATATAAATAATTATTATTTATAAAAATGTATGTTTATTATTATTATTTATGAAAATTAATATTTATTACTAATACAAATAAAAAATATTATATTTAAACTTTGATTTGTTGTAGTCTCCGATCGCCCGATCACACTTTTCGTAACGCTCTCCTCACGCATTCACCAGCTTACTCCCCAAATCAAGCGTGCGTAAAGAAGTTTCACTTCAAAAAAAATTTATAATAACTTTATAAGTGCAGAAAAATATTGAATATATACATTTATTAACAAAAATCAACACACAGAGGCTTAATAGTGATGATAGCTAACCTATACCTTTCACTCTATATAGGTATTTAAAAAAACATGAATATATATATTAGGACATTATCACAGCACCATCTAGTTCCATAGTAAGTTACGAGGCCTGTGTTATGGATACCGGATAGTTGATACACTACACATATATAACTTTAAATCTTTAAATATAATAAAATTGTAACCGAGTCGAATCTGTAGATTGAATATTTTTTGGAAAATCTTATTGAAATAGACATTATCATCGATACAGAGACCGAATCTATAGTTTTTAGAATTTTTGTCTGTCTGTCTGTCTGTTACCGCATCACAGAAAAACCACTGGAGGGACTTTGATGAAATTTGGTATGATAATAGCTGGTTATCCGGGTCAACATATAGGATACTTTTTATTGACTAAGAGGCAAAAATCTTCATAAACTTTATAGTCGATTTTTGCCTCTTCGGCTTGTGCAAATCGGCAGATTATTGAATTGGACACTTTTCAGGATGTGACTAGCCTACCACACCTTAATCTGACGGTTTCAAGTATTTCTAACTTATCAAAACATTTTTTAAATATTTTAATCGGCTTCCCTAGACGCGCCCCTTTATATAGAAGACTTATATTATGGTGAAAGTACTCAATAGAGTGCAAGGTAACCTCTTTTATGTTAATCTGCCGCGCTCGAGTAACTACAGAAAATCCCCTCTTGGGCTCCCCTACTATAAAAAGATACTAGTCTCAGTGAGATTGGACGGTGTAAATAAACATAAATCAGAAAGACATTATTATATATATTATAATAAAAAATTCGGACAAGTGCGAGTCTGACTTGCACACCGAAGGTTCCGTAGCATGAAACATTAAAAGTTTATAACTGGACCCAGTTATGCAAAAAACAGCCATGTGCGTAAAAGTACCAACAGAGTTATAAGCATTTTTTTGTCGATCGTTGCACTTGGGTTAATGCTTTGTTTTTTTTTTTTTATCTCCCCCCCAACGTGCGTTCACCTTGTCGTGGTGGGGGGGCTCAGTAGTGCCCGGCAATCTATCCGGGCGCGAAGCCAAGAAACGCACAGGGAGGTGGCCCGCTTCGGTGGGCGGTGGGAGGCGGCCCTCTTCGGAGGGCGGTGTACCATGCGGGTTGCTCCTGGTACTTCTCTGATAGCAGAGTGGACCGTGGAGCAACCGCATGGTCGTGGTGGTCTGCTTCGGCAGACTTGCCGTCGGGGCGTCGTAGTTGAATGCGTAAGCGATCCTGCGACGCCCCATTAAGACGAGGGAAGGATTTGTTGGGTTTTAGTGGGTAGTACTGGCTTCGCCGGTGAGTCCCACACTTCGTGCGTAAATGCATTTCCCAACGTTAAAAAAAAAATGTTTTGTTTTTCTGGTTATTTTAAAATTGAACAATATTTATATTAAGTATTGTTTATTTTTTATAATTATTTTATTTTTTATAATAAAATGCTTAACTCTGTTGGTACTTTTACGCACATGGCTGTTTTTTGCATAACTAGGTCCAATTGCAAAAAAAAAATCCTCCACGCATCCCTGAGAGAAAGGGTCTTGACAGACAGATGGATAACGAAGTGATCCTATAAGGGCTACTTTTTAGGTATGGAACCCTAAAAACTTGTTCTGGATTTAACAGTACAAATATTTTACCTGATTCTTGGTTTTGAATATCTTTAGAATAACCAATAACAGCCAGGTCTTCACCAACACCGTTCAACGCCTGATTAAAGGCCACTAAAAAAAAACGTTTGAAATGTTAAAGTCAAAAATCACTTAAGTATAGTAAACTTTTTAAGCAAATCCGATAAAACCTTGTTGCATTTTTTATTTTACTAGCGCTCGTCAGTATTACCTCATGGTTATTTTTATTTAAAATAAAATAACAAAAAAATGCAAACAAACAAATATCTTAAAACTGTAATTATACAGATTAAACAATAATTATTTAAATTATATAATAAACTATATATTGAGAGATGAGAGAGAGAACACTTGCCACTACCTTCTGTGGAGGTTGTTTCAATTTTGACACTTTCGGATGATTCATCGGCTTCTAGAATAATATTAGAATATATTAGAAATAAAGAAAATATATATTGACGACACGTTTGGCTCAGTTACAAACTGAGTGAATTGTTGTGCCAGCAGTTGCGGGTTCGAGTCCCGCTGAGGGCATTCATTTGTGTGATGAACACGAATGTTTGTACTCCAGTCATGGGTGTTTATATTTATTATATGTATGTATTTAAAGTTATATATGTGTAGTGTATCAACTATCCGGTATCCATAACACAGGCCTCGTAGCTTACCATGGAACTAGACGGTGCTGTGTGATAATGTCCCAATATATTTAATATTTATTAAAGCAAAATTATTATTTATATTATAGCATAATTTAAACAAAATATTAATATAATATGTGAATTAAAATAATATGTCCAACACCAGTGCAGAGGTTTCATCATTAAAAAAATAAAACTTGAAAAGAAGATATAATTTTGAAGTTGATAAAAAATTATACTATTGAATTGCACACAATTTCATAAAAATTATACTGAAACATGTAAAAAATAAGTGTGTGTAACCGTGCGCGGTTGAAGTAAAACTTCTTTGGCGTAACAGAACAAAAATAGCTAAAGATTTCATCCCGTATGACACAACTCTCTGTTTGTAAAAGGAATGATTCATTTTAATAAAAATAATTAAACACATATTAGCCATATTAGAATCATATATTTATAGAATATCATTTAAGAAAAAAAAAATTAATATTATATATCGTTTGTCAGACTATAACAACAGTTACCACGGCAACAAACGTTCGCCTCGCCCGATCACACTTTTCGTAACGCTCTCGTCACGCATTCACCAGCTTACTCCGCAAGTCGAGCGTGCGTAAAGAAGTTTTACTTCAAAAAATATTACTATACATATAAAAAAAATACATGTACACACCAGTATCATCAAAATCAATATCATCCTCTAGTTTAACATTCCTTAATATATCACCATCTGAAAAAAAATACTGTTCGTATAAAAAGACACTAATGAAGAAAAATATTAAAATATTTTTATTTCTTAAAAAAATTCACACCTTCAGATGACTTAACCTTTCAACTGCCTCGATGGTGTAGTGGTAGTAGGTCCCGGGTTCGAGTCCCGGGTCGGGCCAAGTTTAATTATTGAGTCTTTCTGTATAGTAAGCCTCAGCAACAGCCCGGAGTTGGGAAGTTGGCGGTGTTTCACCCCCGTGCCTCGGAGAGCACGTAAAGGCGTCGGTCCTGCGCCTTAACTCTCACTGGTCGTGTCGAGTGGTCGTCCCACCGGAATATGAGAGTGACAGGAGTAGAGAGTGCACGAAGTGTCTGCGCTCTCCCTCACACGCGCTGCACTATAATATCTCCTGCGCAGTTGGCTAGTCTCAATGAGATTGGCCGCCGTGGCCAGAATCGATCAGGAGAACATCATATCCCTCTCACAATATACACATATTAAAAAGAATCATGTTGTACCTATTGTAACATGAGGTAATATGATTTGTAACGAGCATAATATATAAGTATAGATATTACATTAGATTATAGATCGAATATGTATTGATTGACAGTCTCTCGCTTGGTCTCGCAAGTGCAATACGCACTTCAATAAACGCTAATTATTAAAGCCTTATTATTTTCTCCTCACGTCCGCCACATATTGGTGACCCCGACTGAAAAACAACACCTGACTGAAGATCAAATATAAGATGGCTACCAATTCTAAACCAGTCGTACAAGTGAAGGAAAATTTACGTGAAGATTCAGAACTGGCAACAATCTGGCAACAGGATCTAGATAACCTTGCAGCTATCGCTGACAAAATTATGGAGACCACGAGACCTTTACATGCTGCTGAAGTAAATTGTCAAGCTGAAAAATCGGATGATACGTCATTTCTTATGTCGCAAATAGCCAAGTTAAGTGTGAAGGTCATGGAACTTGAAAGATCGAGACCAAGGTATCGAAGTACTCGATGTAATTGGAGGCGACGTACTACATCACGCGGACGTTCAGTATCCGAACAACGACGCCGCAGGTCCGAATCATCGAAATGGCTATGTTTCTATCATCACCGTTTCGGCATTAAAGCAAAGAAATGTGTGGAGCCATGTGCTTGGAAGGAGCAGCCGGAAAACTAGACAAGGTGCAGCCAAGGGTGGATGTCTGCACCATATCGCCGTTCCACCGTTTTATGCGTAACCGGACTGCAAAAGTGGTTTACGTTTTCTTGTGGGACACAGGTGCAAATATTTCAGTGTTACCGTACAAAAAAACGACTCTATGAAAATGTAGTTAGTGATAAATATAAACTTTATGCAGCTAATGGCAGTGAAATAAAGACATATGGTGTTAAATCGTTAGTGTTAAAATTTAAATTTACGCCGACCTTTTCGGTGGACTTTTGTGTTAGCGGACGTTAAACAGCCAATATTAGGCGCAGACTTTTAAACCTATCATAAGCTTATAGTAGATTTATATCGTCGTCGACTTATTGGATCAAATAACAAATATAGATACTATAACATCGATAGTGCAACACGATGAGTCATCTATTACTACGTTGGATATAATAATAAATATTACGACTTAATGTTAGAGTATCCCGATATAACGAAACCTATTTGTTTCAAAGATACACCAAGGACACTCTGTTGTTCATTATATTGAGACTACAGGACCTCCTGTATTTGCGCGACCCAGACCTTTAGCTCCGGACAAATATCAGAAGGTAAAATCGGAATTTGAAATCATGCAAGACGTAGGCATATGTAGACCATCGAAGAGCTGTTTGGGCAAGTCCACTCCACGTAGTCCCGAAAAAGGATGGTGGTATTAGACCATGTGGTGATTACAGGCAATTAAATGCCATCACTAAGCCTGACAGGTATCCGATTCCACGCTTACAAGATTTTACATATTTACTGTCGGGTAAAAGATATTTCGAAGATCGATATAAAACGTGCCTATCATTTCATTCCCATCAATAGTGAAGACATAGAGAAGACAGCCATCACTACGCCATTCGGTCTTTTTGAGTTCCCAAGGATGACGTTTGGGCTAAGAAACGCAGCTCAAACATTTCAGAGATTTTTAAATAACGTCGTACTTCAAAATCTTAATTTTATTTTTGTATATATCGACGATGTAATAGTAGCGTCGAAATCTGAATCCGAACATAAGGAACACCTCAGACTAGTATTTGAGCGATTTAATAAATATGGCTTTAACTATTAACACTTCAAAATGCAATTTTGGGCAGAACGAAATCGAGTTCTCTGGGATACCACGTTTCGAAAGATGGTATTAAACCCTCTTAGAACAACGAGTTAGCTCTATAATTAATTTTCCTAGGCCTAAAACAATCGAGGAACTCAGACGTTTTTTTAGGTATGATTAATTTTTACAGAAGACATCCTTCCTCAAGCAGCAGAGATTCAGTCAAAATTAAATATATTTTTACATAACTCTAGAAAAAATGACAAGACAGAAGTAAGGTGGACAGATGAGTCAATTGCGGCATTTGAACAGTGTAAGAGAGCCTAATCAGCGCCGTTACACTATCACACCCAGCTGCAGACGCGAATATAGCCCTTATGACGGATGCGTCTAAGACTTGCATTGGCGCAGTATTACAGCAACGTGAAGGCGACACATGGAAGCCTTATAGGATTTTTCTCCACTAAGCTGAGCGAAGCGCAAACGCGATATAGTGCTTTCGATAGAGAATTACTTGCTATCTATATGGCTATAAAGCATTTCAGATATTTGATCGAGGGACGCCCCTTAACAGTCTACACAGATCATAAACCACTCGTTTATGCTTTGAAAAAAAAATTCTTATACAGACAGCGATACACCGCGTCGATTAAGACATTTCGATTTTATAATGCAATTTTGTTCGAATATTGAACACATTAGTGGATCTCAAAATATTGTTTGCTGATACGTTATCACGAATTTCTGAAATTAACATGCCATCATACATCGACTACAATGCTCTTAGCGAAGCTCAGGAAAAAGATAAAGAATTACAAGTTTTATTAAAATCTAAAAATTTATGTTTTTAAAAAGTTTCAACTTCATAACAGTCAAGAATCAATTTACTGTGAAGTTTCAAAAACAATTCGCCACGACCATATTTGACTAAAGAATTCCGAGTGCAGGCTTTCAACGCCGTACATGGATTGAGTCATCCGAGTATAAGATCAACTAGAAAGATGATATGCGATAATTCTTTTGGCATTCTATGAACAAAGATGTTACTAATGGGCTCGAGCATGTATAGATTGTCAGAAATGTAAAATACATAGGCATACAATATCACCTTTCGGTAAATTTCCCACAAGCAATCGTTTTGAACATATACATAATTGATATTGTTGGTCCATTACCACTTTACAAAGGATACAGATATTTAATTACGATGTTAGACCGAGCCACGGGTTGGCCGGAAGCTTTTCCCTTAAGAGACATAACAGCTGAGGCTGTTGCAGAGAAAATATATTCAGGATGGATTTCACGTTTTGGTTGTCCTTTACGAATTACGACTGACCAAGGAAGACAGTTTGAGTCGAATCTTATCAATCAATTATCTAAGCGCCTTGGTATTATGAAAGCTCGAACAACTGCGTACCATCCACAGGCAAACGGTGCTGTCGAACGTTGGCATCGATCTCTTAAGGCATCGTTTAATGACTAGAGGAAACAATAATTGGGTTCAGGAGTTACCAACTGTACTACTAGGCTTAAGAGCAAGCCTAAAAGATTGTACGCAAACCAGTGCAGCGGAGATGGTTTATGGCAGTCCAATTAAGCTACCCGGAGATTTTTTTGAGCCTACAACGCCACTAAATTCGATAGCGAGACATTTTAAAGCAACTGAGAGAACATATAAGTAATATTTGTTCAGTACCCAAACGAGAGAAAACACAGAAAAATATATTTGTTCACCCTGAATTGCAAAAATGCTCTCATGTATTTTTACGGTGCGATAAATTATGTAAGTCCTTAAATCCACCATATTCAGGACCGTACAAAGTATTAGACCGTAAAGAAAAACATTTTAAAATATTAATGGCAGACAAAGAATGTACTGTTTCTATTGATAGATTAAAGCCAGCATTTTTATTAAATAATACTGAAGAGTGTGATACGCGGGATAGCACTAGTATCGAAATTCCAAACAAGGAGACACATGTAAATAACAAAGTAACGCGATCCGGCCGAATCAGCAAGCCAGTAGTAAGATTCCGAGATAAATTTATTTAAAATCTGCATCTTGGTGAAGCTATACACATTCACATTCTCTAATTATATTACCAATAATAGTAATGGGTTATAATCAGAGCAAAGAAGAAAAGAAGGAAGAAGTTATAATCGCCCAAATGGGAGGAAATAATACTTCGCAAATTTCTGAGTTAAAAGTTGATATATATTTCGGCTTATTATTTTTAATAATCCTTATTGTAATCATGTTTGGAATATACAGATATTGCCGAAGGAAATTTAGAGAGACTATAAGGAAGGAAATGCAGAGCATGCCAGATTTAACTGCTGCAGTATAACGTTTTAAGTGCCAGTGTACGTCTTTGTAAAAAAGTGCAAGTGTATACTGTTTATGTTAAACACATAATTTCGAGTAGTGCAGTGAATAATTATGCTGAATAGGTAAAAAATATCATGTTCGAAAAAATAATTTGTGATAGATGTAAGGAAACTGTAATAGCATGTAATTATGATATTTTTAGGTATTAATAATATTTTTTTTTTTGCAAACTATATTTTATGTTTAGAATTTAATTTTATACATTTTACAATTTTTTTTTTTGCGTTAAAATGTATTCATTTTTATATATTCTTAATAACTTGATATATTATTTTTTACTTATTTTTTTTAAAAAGGGGGGAATATTGTACCTATTGTAACATGAGGTAATATGATTTGTAACGAGCATAATATATAAGTATAGATATTACATTAGATTATAGATCGAATATGTATTGATTGACAGTCTCTCGCTTGGTCTCGCAAGTGCAATACGCACTTCAATAAACGCTAATTATTAAAGCCTTATTATTTTCTCCTCACGTCCGCCACAATGTTTTTAAATAATATGCTCTCCCTGGTGCTTAGTCTGAAGCCATAATAACAAGAAAATTGAATTGATACCAATCTCAGTGAGATTGGCCGATGTGAATAAACATCTGTCAGAAAATCCTTATGATATATTACTAGGGACTCACCCTCGCAAACTCTCTTGTATGAATGTTTTAATAACGAATCATAAAAAAATTAAAATAAAAAATTTTATCCAAAAAAATAGAAAATTTTTGAGGTGAACCAAATCACTTAGGGGTATGAAAAATAGTTTACGTCCTATTCTCATACCTATTGAATATACACACAAAATTTCATAAGAAACGGTCAAGCCGTTTCGGAGGAGTTTTGTTACAAACACTGTGACACGAGAATTTTATATATTTGAATATAAAAAAGCGGACGAGTGCGAGTCTGACTCGCTCACCGAGGGTTCCGTAGCATGAAACATTTAAAGAAGTTTATAATTGCAAAAAAATGTTTGTGATGTGTTTAGTTTTCAGATTTTTACTTTACATAAGCTATAAAATATGAATTCTTACCAAGTTTCATGATTCTAGATCAACTGAAAGTATAGGTCCTATAGGTTCTGATTCACTCGCGAGTGTCAAATATTTATTTATTATCAGTTGGGAAACAAAAACAAAAAAATATGCGACATATACGGCTGAATCTTTTGATTGTGTTGACTTACAAGTTAGATTTTTTCACAGCTCTAAGGGAATGCAGACAGGAGTATTTTGATATTAATTTCAACTTGATACCTGCACGCGTTCCTGAGAAAAAGGGTCTTGACAGACAGACAAAGAAGTGATTCTATCCCGTGTAGATTCTTTTTTCCTTTTAAGGTATGGAACTCTAAAAATAATGCTCTGGGTTTAACAGTAAATATCTTACCAGAATTCTCGTCTTGAAAATCTTTAGTATAGCTAATAACAGATGTCAAATCTTCACCAACATCGTTCAACACTTGGTTAAAGGCCACTAAAAAAATTAAAAAAAAATATTTAGTACGAAATGATAAAGTTAAAACTATATTTCATTAAAAACTATTTAATTAAACTAAATGAAATATTTTTGTTTAGTAAATAAACCCTTGTAGCATTTTTTTTTTTATATTTTTGTAGTGGTTGTCAGAGAAAATAGAAATACCCTTGAAGTGTTTACTTAGTCTATACTAGTAAAATATTCATTTATTAAATACTAGCAACTCATCCTCGCTTTGCTCGGGTTTGTCCCTAGCTTGATTCCACAAACAAACTTTCATCACCAATTTCACTCCCTTAAGGAATGATTTCTGGGATACAAAGTATCCTATGTCCTTCCCAGGTTCTCAAACTATCTTCTTACCAAATTTCATCTAAATCGGTTCTGTAGATCCAGAGATTACCCCCTACAACGTCACAAACTCATACTCTTTACCTCTTTATAATATTAGTATACAAGTATAGATTAGTAAAACTTCCAGAAAACAGGTAAAATAATAATTATTTAAATTATATAATAAACTATACATTGAGATAAATAACACTTGCCACTACCTTCTGTGGAGGTTGTTTCAATTTTGACACTTTCGTATGCTTCATCGGTTTCTGGAATAATATTAGTTAGAATATTGATTTTATTAAAGAAAATATATAGCAACAAATTATAATTTGAGCAAAATAATAATATAAAATGTGAATTAAAGTATGTCCATAACCAATATGTCATATTATCTGAAAAGCTTACTGCATTTTTATTAACACAAACATCTAATATATAAAATTCTCGTGTCACAGTTTTCGTTGCCATACTCCTCCGAAACGGCTTGACCGATTTTGATGAAATTTTTTGTGTTTATCCGGTATCTATGAGAATCGGCCAACATCTATTTTTCATCCCCCTAAATGTTAGGGGTAGTCCACCACTAAATTTTTTTATTTTTATTTTTTAGACAAAATTTTTAATTTCTATTTTTTTATGATACAACATACAAAAATACATACAATCCTCAATTTTCACTAGGGACGAACCCGAGCGGAGCGAGGGTGAGTCGCTAGTACAAAAATAAATATTTTGTATTGTTAACACATAATATATTAAATACATACATTTATAATGTTCAAACTTACGTTTTAATCGTATCGTTACTTCCAATGCTTTCAAGGATGTTTCCGCTTGCTCCCTAAACTTGAGGCTACTTTCTAGTTGTTGTATGCAACTATGGCATATCAGGCACTTTGTATCATCTAACTCTAATATTGCAATCTGTAATATTTTAATAAATATATTTCTTTAATTAAACTTAATAAAATATATAATAATACTTTTTTAGATTTATGTGAATATTTGACATTTTTAATAAAACTATCTTTTCGTTTTTTTTCACAGAGATATTTTAATTTTTGGTTTCCGACATTTATGATATAATGCCTTTGAGACGTCTAAAACCTTAGTCTCTCCCATGACCATGATTCCTATAAAGCATTCGTCGTTCAACGTTTAGTTCAACGTCAGGTACCAAAAATAGTTTATAGTTCATTCACATAGAAGAAAATAGTGAGTCATCCAGTGCAACGGCAGGTAAAGGTGTATTCACTCAAGGTGTAAAAGTAACGACAAATAGCGTACCCGTATGCATTCGTTACTATAGCATCAGTACTCGTTACTTTTGAATCGTTACTCGTTACTTTTGATACCCGATAACATACTCGTAGAGCATCGTATCGAGTCGTGTTGCGTATGTATTGCGTACGGTATAAATTATACGTTATACCGTATAACGTTGACGTCGCGTTGTTTTCTGTGGAATAATGCACGATCAACAAACCATTTCAATTGGAGAGTTACATGATATCCAGAACCCGTAAATTTTGATTATTTATAAATCTATATAATTTTTAAAAACTTTACTAACAATATTTTTTTATTAATAATTTTTGAAATTAAATAATAAATATAAAAATAGGTAATTTAAAAATGAATAAGTAACGGCATCTATCACGTTAGTGTGACGTCGTAATGCATATTTTATTTAAAATCAATTGCGCGAATGATTTATCAAATCATAATCTGTATGTATTACACATAATCACATGATCATGTCTCACGTAGGATAAATAGATAATTATTGTATTACAATATTGTACACAATTATTATTTTAAAAGAGCCGTTGTTGAGTTTCTCGCCGGTTCTTCTCAGCAGAAAACTTTATTCCGAGCCGGCGGTAGTTCCTAACGGACTAACATTTAAATTTAATTTAAAATGTAAAATTGACGATTCAAAAGAGCTTGTAAAAGTTTATTTGAATAAAGTATATTTTGATTTCATTTGACATAATCATTTAGTAAAAATTATAAGTATTTGTTGGATAAAAAACTAAAAATGTGTTTTAAATATAATGGTTGTTTCTAATTGAAAATTGTTTCTAAACAAAATTTCTAAGATCTGGAAATCATGCAACTCGAAATAAATAAATAAACTCTCTTATTTACTCATCAATGGTATTAAGTATTAACTGAAAGTTGTATTTTGCTGAATAAAAAATCAATAAAAACGTTAGTACGAAAATATGTACGGAAAATGCGAGTAACTTTATTTTAATTTAAGATAATTAATCTACTTAATTTTTACAAATCAAAATAAAGTCATTAATAATATATTTAAGTCTGCCTTCAACAAGTCATTGTGTAGTTGACTTTATAATTTCACGCATCCTAATTGGTCGGGAGTCATGGCAAGGCTGGTGGACAATGATGACTCACTATTTTCTTTATGCGAATGAACTGTAGTATAAGTATAAGTGTAGTTTTATTTAAAATATGTAATGCACAAAATTTAGAAAAGTGCTTCTAAAAATGCTTGAACAAAGAAAATTAATATGCAAAATTAGTGTCTGAGCATAAGACATATCCATATCCAAACTAATATTATAAATGTGAAAGTGTGTTTGTTTGTTTATCCTTCTTTCACGTCAAAACGGATTGGCGGGATTTTTTGTGTGGAGGTAGTTGGAGGACTGGAGAGTGACATAGGCTACTTTTTATCGCGGGAGATTATCTACTTCCCACGGGAAAACACTTTATGATACAATCCAAAAAAATGTTTATGATTAGAATTACTTGAAACTTGGTATTAATGCTCTTCAATAAAATTAAATAAATACGTGTTTTAGCATTTTTCGAAATTCATCCCATAAGGGGGTAAAATAGGGGATGAAAGTTTGATGAAAGAGTTGGCGCTAATAACAAACACTAAGTTTATCGATTTTTTTCAAAGGAATATGAAATTTATTATTATGCAAATTATGAAGATAATATTACTGTGTACTTACGTCGATACAAAAACATTTGAAAAGCATATCTGTATAAGATTCTTTTTTATTTTCATGTTTAATAAGCATACTATTAACAACTCCTTCTTTCAGACATAAAATACAAGAGCCTAGTATTGGCAAAGTTTCCACCATAATCCCAGCTTCCATATTTGCTATATTTTATTATATATCTTCTATTAAATAGCGTATATTTATTTTGTGTTAAAACCAAAGCGACCTTACGCAAATAATACAAAAACACCGACGGGGACGAGTTATATCCGTTTTGACAATTATGACAGTTCCACTTTTGACATATGTTTGTTTATGAAATAACGTTTTGTTTCTCCTTTAAATCTATAAATATGATATAATTCTGAGTCGAATCTGTACATTAAATACAGTGGCCGAATCTATAATTTTAAAATTTTTGTCTATCTGGGAATGCAACATGAGAAAAGTGGACAGATTCTGATGAATTTAGTATGATTATAGCTGACTAGCATTGCCCGCGGCTCCGCCCGCGTTCAGATGATCAAAATCCAAATTCTTAAGTTTTACATATTAGTATACTCTTACATTGGAGTTTTTGTATTTTTCTCAGAAATGAGATATTTTCCCGCAGTAAAAAGTATCCTATATGTTGATCCGGATAACCAGCTACCATCATACCAAATTTCATTTAAATCCCTTCAGTGGTTTTTCCGTGATGCGGTAACAAACAGACAGACAAAAATTCTAAAAACTATTGATTCGGCCTCTGTATCGATAATAAGATTTTTCAAAAAATATTTAATGTACAGATTCGGCTTAGTGAGAATTTTATTATATGTATAGGTTACCCGGGTCAACATATAGATATCTACTTTTTACTGCGAGAAAATATCTCATCTCTGAGAAATCTACACTAAACGCTACGGAGTAGGGACGAACCCGAGCGAGGGTTATTCTCTAGTTTCTAAAACAAAACATTGAAATAAATTAACTATTATAAATCTTTTTATAATGTATTCATTATTCAACATATTGTAATTCTGGAAATGTATTTAAACATGTACATATTTTATTTCTTCTCTGCCGCTGCGTTCTGTCTTTTAAGGATGGTAAAGCGATACTGTAAGACGAATAAGATTTCTTTCGAATCCCTATTTAAAACATCATTGTGGTCTATCTGAGTAGAATGTTAAGGCGTCGTGGTTGAATACTTTAGTGATTCTGCCGCGTCCCATTAATACTAATAACTTTTAATTACCTGACTGCAAGGAAAGGGTTATGTTTTTCGCGCCTATCTTTGTGTTTGTAATATTCTTTATTCCCTCATATCTTCTAAACCACTCGATGAATTTCTTTAATTAAGGTATCGTTAGATTCGTCTCTTTAGTCCAAGTGTTGGTGTTAGGTGGTAGGTGACATAAAAAAATTATATGGGTCCTGCTAGATTCCATAATGTGAAAATAATGTAAAAAATGAAAATCGATGAACTATATATATCAAGTCAACGGTATCGTTGAATAGGCATTTAAAAATCATTTTTAGATTTCTTTTATAATTTTTTATTTTAAATAACAGTTTAGGATATATAATGATTTAAAGTTGGTTAACAAACATTCTCGCTAATTTTCCTACTTAAAAATACTTAAAAAGCTGTAAATAAATAAATAAATATATTATAAAAATAAAAAAACCCGACTGCATAAAAGCTAACTAAATGAATTAAATTTTGTATAAAACCTACTGTTTTAGACTTTTTTTTAGTTTTAGCTCGAGCGAAGCCACGGGTTCTGCTAGTAATAAATAATAATAAAAAATAATTCTTGTTTTTATGTGTTTTTTTTGCTTTTAGTCAATTTAATTCCATTTTCCTTTTCAATTCTGCCTCGTTTCATTAAAAGTTCTTGAGGGATAGGCATCTGGCCCCGGAAGTCGACGCCGGGCCCCGGCTTTAGCTTCATCCGATGTTCGGGATATCGATATATCGACTCGGCGGGTAAGAATCGAATACAGCCGTTGTAAAAATGTAAATCTCTAAAAATTTATCTTAAAAGTAAATTATACCTTTTAGTATTCATTATACGCCTAAATTAATAAATAGTTAAATGTTATTTTTTTAGCATATATTTGCTCGTGACATACAGTACATTTCTAGTGCACGATAGCAGATATCTTTAAGACCATTTTTTATTAATGTTGGGAAATGCTTTATACGTACAGGTGGACTCTCTGGCTAGCAAGGCCAGTACTACCAACTAAAATCCTACAGAACCTCCCTCCCTCCCCTCTTAATAGGGCGTCACAGCATCGCTTCCGCACTCAACCACGATGCCCCAACGACTGCAGGCCTGCCGAAGCAGACCACACAACTAAGGAGTTGCTCCCACGGTCTATAAATACCTTTAAGACCTATTCTAAATGCAAATAACATTTTGTGATATATTTCCATGTATGAAGAAAAATCCCTCGAACGTACTTTAATCTATAAAACTATATCAATATATAGTGATATCTGTTGACATATTACCTAATGCAAGGAAATTGAAAAGGTGCAAACACACGCTCTTCAATGTGTTTCTTATACTTCAACCAGCGGCATTTCAGTAGTTCATTACGTTCCAAAGAGTAATGGTCCATGTATATGTAATCGAATAGTCCTTTCTCGAAAGTTGGTAATGTCCGATAGTTTTGACCAATGTCTTTAGCGATTTCTAAGTTAAAAATAATTTATGAAAAATATAATTAATATTATCTATACAGATAAATAAAATTGATGTGTCTGCTTGTAATGTCAAAATAACAGCTTTTTATCAAATGTTTATGAAGGTATATACGGTACATAAGAGAGAAACATTTTTTTAAATTGTTGTCTGTCTATTTGTTCCGGCTAATCTCCAAAACGGCTGGACCGATTTTGATGGGGCTTTTACTGGCAAATGTATGATATTGTAGTAGTAACTCAGTAATTTTATTTTTGAAAAAGAATCAGGGTTCCGCGTAGAAACTTAAAACTCATGAAATTATGAACGAAATCCGCGTACCCAGGGACGCATCCATACGAAGCAAAGGTAAGTCGCTAATTATATATATAAAAAGATAAAAAGAAACAGTATAATCATATATCAAGACGGAGGCTTTTTTTAAATACCTTAATTTGTGATATAATTTAATTTAAAGCTCCTTAAACTTTATTTGTTATTAGAACAAAAAAATGTCGATTTCAGAACTTATTTGATTGGACTATAGCGCCAAAGGCAGTGGTAGCCCAGTGGTAACGCGCTCGCTTGGGAAACCGAGTGAAGCGGGTTCAAATCCCGGGTCTCGCACCTCTGATATTTTCATGTGCGAATCATTTCCTACATGATTACTACTTATCTTAACTGTGAAGGAAAACATCGTGAGGAGACCTGCATGTCTGAGAGAACCTAGCAAGTTTTCAAAAGACATGTGAAGTCCGCCAATCCGCATTTGGCCAGCGTGGTGGACTATGGTCTGATTCCCCTCGTACTGTAGGAAGGCCCGTGCCCAGCAGTGGGACGTTAATAAAAAAAGGTCTGAATACAATAGCACCAAGTTTCAGTGAAATAAATAACATGGAAGTATTTACAATACTCAAATACACACATTACTTGATATTGTGCTTATTTTGGCATATTTTATTTATATAGGAAAAGTTTAAGAGTTTTTTATAACATATTAAGTATATTATATACCTTCAGTAACACGAGCATCAGGTTTCACTCGTTTTATGTGAGCACAACTTGCGTATATATTTTTATTTGCTTCTATCGCCATTTCTTAAATAAGATTCAGGAAATTATAGAAAAGTTATATTACGAGAACAAGTCAATTCATTCAGGCAATGTAAATAGAAACATCAAAGACAACACATTTTGAAATGTTAAAAGGAGGTTTTATGTTGTTTGTGTTAATTTTACTTTTTATTTTGTATTTGTATAACTTTCTAGCTACTTTATATGATTACTAACAGAACCTGCGGGCTCACTCGCACTAAAACAATATACTCTAAAAAGTGGGTTTCATAAAAACTTTCATCCCGTATTTTATCCTCTTAGGGGTTGAATTTTAGAAAACGCTGAAATACATAACTCATTATTTTTGGCGTACTCAATTCATACGAAATTTCATGCAAATATGTCCAAGAAATAAAAAGTTTCATACAAATTCTTATCCCCTGTTTCACCCCTTGGGTGTTGAATTTTGAAAAATCATTCCTTAGTGGATGCCTTCGTCATATGAGGAATACGTGTGCGAAATTCCAATCTTCTAGCCTTAAGGGTTTGTCCTGTGCGTTGATACATCAGTCATAAAGAAGAATAATGTAAAGCAAAAATATAATGGCAGCAAAAAATCCATCTAATCAAATGTATTAAAAATAAGCGATCAACACTACAGACACTTTCGATAAAGGTAATTGAATATTTCGTTAAGTTATTTTGAATGATTTTATTCATGAATACATATTCATATCTACTGGAAATGTTCAGTAATAAATTGTTTTTATATTAATTTATTAAGATTTTCCAAAAAAAAATATTGTACAGATTTAATTCAGTTAGAATTTAATCTTAATTATAGATTTAAAGAAGAAGCAAAACGATATTTCTTTAATACAAATATTATGTCAAAAGAGGAACTGTCATAAATCTTAATTGTCAAAATGGATTTATCTCGTCGGTGTTTTTGTATTATTTGCGTAAGGTTGCATTGGTTTTAGCACAAAATAAATTAAAGTTATTTAAGAGAAGATATATAATAAAATATAGCAAATATGGAAGCAGGGATTATGGTGGAAACTTTGCCAATACTAGGCACTTGTATTTTATGTCTGAACGAAGGAGTTGTTAATAGTATGCTTATTAAACATACTAATGAAAATAATAAAGAATCTTATACAGATATGCTTTTCAAATGTTTTTGTATCGACGTAAGTACACAGTAATATTATCTTTATAATTTACATAATAATAAATTTCATATTCCTTTGTTAAAATTCGATAAACTTCTTACAAACTTAAGTATAAGTGTAGTATATTCAATAAACAACTTGCATATCAATTTTTCTTTATTCAAGCATTTTTATAAGCACTTTTTTAAATTTCGTACATTACATATTTTAAATAAAACTACAGTAAATCATTTTTGGTTCCCGACGTTTTGAATGCTTTACAGCAATCATGGTCACTGGAGAGACTAAGGTTTTAAATGGTTTAAAATCTAAGAAAGTATTATCACATATTTTGTTAATTTTAATGAAATTACTATATTTAATTAAATATTACAGATGGCAGTATTAGACTTAGATGATACAAAGCGCCTGATATGCAATAGTTGCATAGAACAGCTTGAAAGTAGCCTCAAGTTTAGACAGCAAGTGGAAACATCTTTGAAAGCATTGGAAGTATCAATAAGATTAAAACGTAAGTTTGTACCATTATATGTGATGTGTACATACATTATATATATGTGATTGTGTACATTATATGTATTTGATATATTATGTGTTAACAATACAAAATATTCTTGTATGTTTGTAAATTTTATCGCTTTTTTGTTTGATAATAAAGATGCAGTAGATTTTCAGGAAACATAAAAGCTTTGAAAAGGTTTATGAATGTCCTAATCTCTGGAGCTGCTAACTAAAACTAGTGCATAGTAATTATTTATTTTTTTAAACGGAAAGTTTTTTAAGATTTCAGTATAAGTTTTATGAAATTTAAATACTACTATGTGAAATTCAATATTATAATTTTTTATCAACTTCAAAATTATATCTTCAGTGTTCTGAACCAATTTTCAAGTTTTATTTTTATAATGAATATGATAAAAAAACCTGTACTGATGTTGGACATATTATTTTAATAAACATTTTATATTATTGTTTTGCTCAAATTATAATTTGTTGCCATATATTTTCTTTAATAAAACAAATATTCTAACTAATATGATTCCAGAAGCCGATCAAGCATTTGAAAATGTTAAAATTGAAACAGTCTCCGCAGAAAGTAGAGGCAAGTGTTATTTATCTCAATCTATATTTTATTGAATAATTTAAATAATGATTATTAAATATGTCATTACAGCTTTTAAGATATTTGTTTGTATGCATGTTTTTCTGGATTTTTTTAATAATATCTGATCAATGCATATTCACATTAAATAAAAATAACCATGAGGTAATACTGACAACCACTAGTATAATTTAAAAAAAAATACAACAATGTTTTATTGCATTTATTTGCTTAAAAAGTTTAATAAAACTTAAATGACTTTGACTTTAACATTTCCAATGTTTTTTTTTAGTGGCCTTAAAACATGTGTTGAACGATGTTGGTGATGACTTGGCGTCTGTTATTGGCTATTCTAAAAACTTTCAAGATGAGGATTCAGGTAAGAAATTTACTGTTAAACCCAGAACATGTTGTTTTTAAGGTTCCATACCTCAATAGGAACCCATATAGGATCACTTTGTTATCCATCTGTCTGTTAAGACCCTTTCTCTCAAGGATGCGTGGAGGAAAAAATATTTTTTTTCGCAGTTATAAACTTCTTTTAATGTTTTACACTTCGGAACCCTCAGTGTTCGAGTCAGACCCGCTCTTGGCTGACTTTTTTTATTAATATAATATAAAAAAATGTCTTCCTGATTTTCCACTGGGGGCATTCATTTGTGTGATGAGCATAAATATTTGTACTCCAGTCATGGCTGTTCATATTTATAATATGTATGTATTTAAAGTTATATATGTGTAGTGTATCAACTATCTAGTATCCATAACACAAGCCTCCTAGCTTACCATGGAACTAAATGGTGGTGGAATGTGAAAGGTATAGGTTATCTATCATCACGATAAAGCCGCCTCTGTGTTGATTTTTTAAAATAAATTTATATCTTTACTAATATTATAAAGAGATAAAGTTTGTGACTTTGTGATGTTGTAGGGGGTAATCTCTGGATCTACTGTACCGATTTAGATGAAATTTGATAAGAAGATAGTTTAAGACCCTGGGTAGGACATAGCATACTTTTTATCTTGGTAATCATCCCTTTAGGGGATGAAAATGGGGATGAAAGTTTGTAGGGGGAAGCAATATTTTTTAATATTTTCCTGCAAAGTTTCTGTTAAGTGATTGGAAATCTTTTTTTTATGTTTTTCAGATGATGATGTGTTAAGGAATGTTAAACAAGAAGATGATAGTGATTTTGATGATACTGGTGTGTACATGTTTATTTTTATATATTCATTTTATATGTGGCTGTTTTGAATATCACCCAAAAACACAAATATCAACTATGTTATTTTGTGTCAGTGCTAGGAAAAATTTCTTTTATATGGCAATAAAATTAAATAAATATAAGATTTTGTAAACTAAGCACATATTGTATGCTCACCAATGAAGTAAAAAAATATGACCTTATTTTTTTTTCAATTAAAGTTGTTACGATTTTTTCTAGAAATGTAGTGTATTTTTTTTATTTAGTAATTTTTTGTGTATATATTTTCCAGTCTTAAACGATTTAATAATAAAAAAGGAGCCAGATGAATATAGACCGAGGCGGACGAGAAAAAAAAATTTGAGCACGACGAAAAAAAAAGTTTCCTACTCAGTCAAAAAACAAGCGGATCTCTCGGAAACGGAAAAAATGTTGAAATCCGGTCTTTTTCCCTTTAAAATGGGTAAAACTGGCTACTCGTGTGCAATTTGCCCCGAAAAATCTGCCATGTTGGATGATATCCAAAATCATATATTACAGCACAGTGTTACCAACATACACGTAGCATTCAAAAAAATGATCTCGTCGACTCTGCAAAGATTTTACAAATCCAACGGAAAATTGAGATGTAAAATATGCAGAACGGAAATTTCTGATTACGAAGCACTGAAAAATCATATAAATAATTGCATATCAGTCAAAACTACGGGATGGAATAATTTGCCGTTCAAATTGGAAAAAGATCAGTTGGATTGTCCGATATGTGATAAGAATTTTTTGAATTTTGTCAGTTTGAACACCCATATGAATGTACACTATCCAAATCATATTTGCGATAGTTGTGGAAAGGCTTTTGCGTCTAAAGCTAGGTTACGAGGACATATGAGGACGCATGAAATAGGGGATTTCCCTTGTCGATACTGCGATGCGGTTTTCGATAGAGTAACTAAAAGAGAAAATCATGTGTCGAAAGAACATAAATCTGGTATTCGATATGCGTGTAAGAGATGCAACATATCGCTCTCCTCTTTCTACGCACGTCAAAAACATTTGGCCGAAGTTCATAATGAAGAACTGAAACGATACAAATGCAAAGCCTGTACCCAGAGTTATATAACTCCCGGTCATCTGTCAAGTCATGTCAGACGAGACCATCTGAACGAGAGGAACCATAAGTGCAATAAATGTGATTTAGCGTTCTATACACGGAATTCGTTGAAAATGCACATGATAAAACATGATGGGGAACGCATTCATTCATGTAACATATGTCATAAGTCGTACCAGAGGAAAAAAACGCTCAGAGAACATATGCGTATACATAATAATGATAAGAGGTTTATCTGTCCGGTTTGTGGTCGCGCGTTCACACAAAAATGTACTTTGAAAGGTCATTTGAAAGTACACGAACGGAAAGTTGATCCGGACGATCGTGTGCCACAGCCTTTACATTCGATTTAAAGAATTAATACGTGTAACGTTTACACGCGGTTAAAGTAAAACTGCTTTGGTGCTATGGCAGATATCGCAATTAAATTAAAACATCAAATTATATATTTTTCTTAATTTTTTTTCTGAGACTGGGTCCTGTGACCATGATTGGTTAAAACATCCGAAACGTCGGGAAAATAAATCAAAATAAATCTGCGAAATAATCCGAAAAGATAGTTTTCTTTAAATGTCATATATTCGTGTAAATCTAAGAAAGTATTACATTTTGTTTGAATTATTAATAATTTTGATTCTCACTTACCCCACAGTCACGCCTAAAGAAGCTTTACTTAAAAAAAAATGCGGCATTATGTTGTCTGTGGTTTGCCCTTCTTCTAGTATTTTTTTAATGACATATGAAAATAAAACAGTCGGTACATCTATAGCAATAAATAAAGCCAGACAAAGCTGTCAATGTCAAAAAACAAATGTGTCAGTCGAATATTATTTTTATAGTTCGTTTCAACGAATAGTTCCTATGGCGTTATGTTGGCAGCGATGTTTTCCAGTGCTGTCACATTATCTATAATAACCCACCTCAAAGTAAGGGTAATTTGAAGTATGTTTTTTTAGTTAGATTCTTATATATTTACAAATTATTCGATTTCTGTTTTCTAATGTTTACGCGAATTTCACTCATTATAATAAAACAACTTTTACGCCGCTACTTTACTATGGCGATAAAATCAGTAAAAGTTGTTTCATTATAAATTATTCAATTATCATTTTAAAAATCAGAAAAGTAAAAAAAGCATAAATTATTTAATATTTTTTATTATAATTGTGATCAATCAAAAAATGCTCATCCAACGGACTTATTCCCGAGAGATCGTCGTCAACTTCATCTTCCTCATCATCCTCGTCATCAGAAGTGTCGCTATCGTCTCCCACTTCAATTATGAACCTCTCCATCTCGCTATCAATAACTGGGCCATCGGCGTAATATTTTTCTTCCACTTTTTTCACATGCTCACATTCTTTTCTCCATTCTTCTTCGGTGATCGTTGCAAAGGCTTCTTCTGTGATTTGGACGATTTTATTTGCTTCTTGACCTATGTTTTTTTCAGCAACTCGTCTTTTTACGACACTCCATATCAGCTCTATTGGGCTTAAATCACAGTGGTAAGGTGGAAGCCTTACCACTTTATGTCCATGCGCTTCCAACATTATATCGGCTTCATAAACGGGCGGCTGTTTGTGCTCTTTTATTATTTGAAATAGCTGGGCTTTTACCATAGTTGGCAAGTAAGAAAGACCATTACTTGATATCCAATTTTGCATTTCTGCCTTTCTGCTTGACATTGTTGGTGCTTTGTTAAGGTGTACTGTGTGGTAGGAGGCGTTATCCATCACCACAATTGATTGGGGAGGCAGATTTGGTATAAGCTTTTCACTAAGCCACTTATTAAAATTCGTTTTATTCATATCGTCGTGATAATCGGCCGCTTGTGACTGAGATCTGAAGATCAGTTGAGCATTGGGTATGAAACCCATAGCACCACCCGCGTGGACGATAATCCAACGTGGCCCTTTAGAGTCTGATGATAATACACCTTCTTCTTGTTCGCTTTGCCAACATTTTCCGGCGCAATATGTTGCGTGTATATATGTCTCGTCCAAATATACAACTGGGCGCTGGTTTCCGAGACGATTATTTCGTAATTCTTCCAGGTATCGATAACGCCAGGCGACAATATCGTATCTCTCCATTAGGACTTTTCTTTTGGATCTACATTTTTTAAAATAAAACCCGATATCTTTCATTATTCTCCACAAAGTGGTACGACTTCCTTTGAAACCTATCTCGCTTCGCATTTCATGCAATAACTTTGTAAGAGTAGGTAATTCCTTTTTTACGGAATAAAATTCATGTATTTTATGCCTAATAGCACACCGTTCGAAGTCATCCAGTTCGATTTTTTTAGGCCGGGACCGCTTTTGCGTGGTGTTGAAACCTTAGTCGACGTGCTGGCAGCGACCTCACCTTCTTTGGTGATTTTAGACACGGTTTTTTCGGACACACCTAAAACAAATATTTTGATTTATTTATCTATTGTCAACGTCATACATAAACCAATAATAGTCGCAGTACACATGCTTGCGTAGATCTTACAAATAACTACCGTTTAAAAAAAATTGCGGTTAAAGTGTGGAAATTATAATTTCTCTATCTGCTACTGGTAACCCTATTTGACTGACCTGTAATGGCGGCAACACGAGCCTGAACACATCTTAAAGGAATTAATGGTGCATTATTACGTTTTTCACGTTCACAAAAGTTCTTCACCTTTAACACCATCATTCTTTCACCACTTTTTAATGTTTTGGGCATAATTTCAGTCGAAAATCAAATGAAAATAAACAAAATCTGCGGGAGCGTCTTCTCGTGCCAAAGACTTTGACAGAGAGGGAGGCCAACATAACGCCATAGGTACTATTCGTTGAAACGAACTATATATTTGCTGTGGAATTTTTGTTTTTTTCGCAAAGCAATATAACTAATTTAATTATGTTGTATAATAAACAGCTAAACTATAATACAATTTTAGACTTCTTAGTGTGTTTCTTGATTATCTTATTATTTTTAATCTGAGGTAGAAGTTTAATTTATGGGACTTAAAAGGAAAAATTACCATTTTGGGAGAAATTCCGTCCTGGTATAATATGATTCCCTAGGGATGTAAAAAGCTGAGAGACGCTGGTTCCTTTGTAGAAGACATGTTGTTATATGCAAAGAACAATATTGCAATTTTAAAACCACAGTATAAAAGTCCAAACGATTAATTTATCGACTGTCAACAGTTAAACGTCAATTCCACTGACACATCCGTATTAATATTAAAAATGTAAAACTTTGTGAGTATGTTTGTTACTCTTTCACGCCAGAACGGCTGAAGGGATCTGGATGAAATTTGGCATTTGGATTATAGTCTGGAATAGTACATAGGCATTTTATCCCGGAAAAATGTACGGTTCCCGTGGGATAGATTTGTTTTTGTTTTCCTAGAGGCGAATCCAAGCGAAGCGAGATTGAGCCGCAAGTTACACATATTTTATTAAAAAAAAGGCGAAACAATGTATTTTATCTATATAAGTAGGATATATCTTAATTTTTTTTTAAAGTAGGTAGATAAAGTAACTGTCTACTGTAGAGTACAACAAGTGATGGTCGTTTGAACAAATAAGCACTAAGGTCACGACTTGTCTAGACATCTTCGTTTGATTGTATGGATTATATATTAATTATTATATTATAATGTGCTTCAAGTATATAAAGATGTTAATTTTTATTTTTTAACTAGTGAGTAACCCTGGCTTCGCTCGAGTTCGTCCCTAGGTACGTTTTAACATTTAGTTTAGATTTCTCAGAGATGACATATTGTCCCGCAGTAAATATCTATCTTATATGATGACCCGGATAATCAGCTATCATCATACCAAATTTTATCGAAATCTGTCCAGTGGTTTTTTCGCGATGCGTTCCAAGACAGAGAGATAGACAAAAAACTAAAAACTATAGATTCGTCCTCTGTATCGATAATAATGATTATTTCGATAAGATTTTCCAAAAAATATTTAATGTACAGATTCGACTCAATTAGAATTTTATTATACATACTTGTATGTATAGATTATATCATACTGAGTTACAATGTTGTTCTTTGCATGTGTCGATTTTTTGTCGAGAATTAGATGTCATGAATGACTTCTAAAGTTCCAGCATTTATTTGTTGCTGATTAGTTGTTTTATATTGAATAGATATTATAATAATTTGGGCTGTATAAAAATAATTAATAGCATTTTGAGTTCAAATTAAAAATATTCTACCATAATGTTAATGGGCAAATGGCTTACAAAATCATCACGTTTATTATATTGTTTGTTTTTAAAATGTGATATGAACAAAATTAAACGCCTAATATTATAGAATGTAAGTGTAATAAAAACGCTACAATGTTGTTGTTTTTGGTGTATGGGTCTGTAACTAATTGTATTTTTTTTAATTTAAATCTTTATTTTTGTAAATAGAATAAATTATGTTAGAAGTCTTCCGGTGAAACTTCCATCGTGTCTTCCGGAACAGTTCCACAATAGTTGGTGGGATTTGTAGAAAATAAAGCACAAAAACATACAATTAGATCAATTCTTGCCAAATAAGGCATATATTTATGATTTTTAATATACTTAGTAATATGTTAATTTATCGTTTACACGTATAATAATGTATTTTTTGTAATAATTTTGGTCCTTCGAGCCGGACTCGATTAGTTGCCATTATAGCAATAAGATGGAAGCAAAAGTGGTCTAACCAACGTTTACAGCTATCTTTAACAAATAAAACATTACAAATATTATTAATACAATGAAGTTTGTTCGTCCCTATTTTATATACTAACGTATCAATGTAATTTATAAATATGCATATATTTCATTTTTGAGAGTAACTTTTGTTTAGGGCCTGAGCGAGTGATATCTACTTTTATTCTAAACTAGCTATTTACCCTCGCTTCGTTCGGGCGCGTCCCTAGATACGTTTTAGTTTTTTGAGCGGAATCCAATAAAAGTAGCTTAAGTTACTCCGTATAACATCAGCTATCAGCCAGTGAAAGTCCCGTCAAAATCGGCTCAGTCTTTTCGGAGATTAGCCGAAACAAACAGTCAAAATTTTTAAGAATTGTCTTTTTCTTATATGTACCGTATATAATTTGATCATATGCATTCAGTAAAAAGCTGTTATTTTGACGTTACAAACAGACACTTCAATTTTGTTTATCTGTATAGATGTTATTTAATAAAATATAATGTAACAGTTTTTATATTTGCATTTTAAGACCACTTTTGCTGTAATTCTGAATTATTATATTTATATCTATAAAATTAGTTATTTTTTTGGTTAGAGGAGAATTTATTTCTTTTATGAAATTCACAATAAATTGCAATCACATTATTTATAACAATCAGCTGTCAAAAATAATCTGTTATGGTTTTTATACACTGTAAATATGTTATTTGTAAAAAATGTGCAATAAAAATTAGATATTTTAAATTTTGTCTTTATGTAATTTAAAGCCTACCTATTAAATACATACCTAATCAAATATTTTCGAAATCGGTGCCAGCCCACACAAAGCAAAGCACACCGACTTCGAAAATATTTGATTAGGTATGTATAGTAAATGAAAACTACCAATCAGTTATTTTTTACTTTTTAGTGCTTTTGTTTGAAGTCGTTTTTATTTTTTTGTTGAAAAGTTTTTATTTTTCCCTTTTTAGTGTAGACAGTAGTAGCAAAGTAAGAATTCTAACGTATTAGGCTTGTCGAATCAAACAAAATAAGCCCAAACTCAAAGTATCTACTATTAGCCGTTGAAGAGTTCCACCTATCCACCTTCTGGCCTTACCATCAGATCAGGTCAACAATACCGAACCACTGTACTATCAACGGAAATAGAAACACTTGCAAAGTTTCAAGTCAATATGACAATTAGAAGTAGGTTAAATCCATCATTAGCTATTTTTCCACCCTTAGGGGTTGTATTTTTTTTTTAATTTAAATGGGACCAATCTGGAAGTATACCCTTTTAAACAAAACAAAAATTGTCCAAATCGCTTAATAAATGACGAAGTTCTGAGGTAACAAACATTAAAAAAACAGTCGAATTGAGAACTTCCTCCTTTTTGAAGTCGGTTGAAAAGAGAAGGATCCTTTTTTTTAATTGAAAGTCGAATATCTCAGGAAAAAATCGACAGAGTTTAGTAAAAGAATTTTTTGTTCATTCAAGAAGTGTCCCTTTGTAATGTCGAAATAAAAGCTTTTTACTAAATGCATATGCAATTAATTATATACTGTACTTTAAAAAAAAAATTAAGATTCTTGTCTGTTTGTCCGTTTATTCCGGCTAATCTCCTAAACGGCTTAACTGATTTTGACGGGACTTTTACTGGCAGATAGCTGACGTTATAAAGAGTAACATATATTACTTTTCTTTTAGTAAAAGAATTAGGGTTCGGCTCAAAAAATTAAAAAGTATCTAGGGCGAAAGCAAGGGTAAGTCCCTAGTATCGAATATAAAGTTGTATCTTTAGAAGATATTCAATAAAACAATAATAAGCGGTTTAATTTTATTAAGAAAAAAAAAATACATTGAGCATTATCTGTGACTAAAGTTTGTGGCAATAAAAAACGCTTATGGAATTAATTCACTTTTAATTGACAAATAATGAATTAATAACTATACTACACTATAGTTTTTGTATAACTTCAATTCAGCTTAAAACTAATTTGCAAACTTTTGTACTAAAAATTAAAAACATACGGAATCTAATATGGCTGACATGACAGATGACATATTTGATTGCAGATAAAAAATGACTACCCAAAAGGTTTTATTTTAATAATTTTTATATTAAAAAAAACGTTATTTTAAATATTTATTAATTACGAAAGAAATACATTTTATTTGTTAAAATTATTTTACTATTCACATAAAGTATGGGGATATTAAATAAAACTATTATATAATGGCTTAGATATCGATGCCAAGGAGTTTTTTGTCGAAGATGAACTCTCCGAGTGCGGAATGACGTTCCATCATCTTCTTCAGGGTGGAGGCTTTGCCTGCGAGGTCGCGTTGACCCTTGTATTGTTCCTCCAAGAATTCACCAGTCAAATAGTCAACAAGCTGTAAAAAAATAAGAAATGTTAATTATTTATAATCCGTCGTCAAAAATTGGACAAAATTCTTTAAAGGTTTTTGGGGTACTTTCGTCAAAATTAATTGTGAATCTTCCTCAATCTATACATATAATACAATTATGAGCCGAATCTGTACATTAAATATTTTTTGGAAAAATTTATTGAAATAGACATTATTATCGATACAGAGGACGAATCTATAGTTTTTAGAATTTTTGTCTGTTTGTCTGGGAACGCATCACGAGAAAACCACTGGATAGATTTTGATGAAATTTGGTATGATGACAGCTGGTTATCCGGGTCAACATATAGGATACTTTTTACTGCGGGAAAATATCTCATCTCTGAGAAATCTATACTAAACGTTAAAACGTACTTAGGGACGAACCCGAGCGGAGCACAGGTTAAGTTTCAAAATTAAAAAAAACAGAGAGTGCACGTTGTGTCTGCGCGCATACGCGCTGCACAATAATATCTCCTGCAGTTGGCTAATCTCAGTCAGATTGGCCAAACAATACTTTAATTATGCCAAAGCTCATACCAGACCTAATTTGTGGAAGACTTTCATATATGTGTATGTATGTATATAGCTCTTTTTAACGTCCCACAGCTGGGGGTGGGCCTTCCTTCAGTAAGAGGGGGATCAGGCCATAGCCCACCACGCTGGCCAAGTGCAGGACGGACTGAGCCTGTCTTATGAAAACTTGCTAGATTCTAGACTTTCATACTCACATGGTAGTCATTGTTTTCATGGTTCTGACTGTCCCTGTCGTGTTCACATTTGATGATAACGTTCTTGATAGCCTTGGTCACTTCTGCTTCCATCTTCAGAGCCTCTTCTAGAGCATCCTGACCTGAGTTCCAGTGCTTATGGTCAGGTGGCTGTAAGCATTAATGGGAAAAATTAATATCAAGATAATATCAAGCTGAGCATGGGCCTCCCTTGAATTGGAAGGATCCGGCCACAGTCCACAAACTGGCCAAGTGCCGAGCGGACTGAGCATGTCCTTCGACAACTTGTCATGTTCTCTCGGACATGCAGGTTTCCTCACGATATTTTCCTTCACCGTAAGACAAGTGGTAATCATGTTGGAAATGATTCGCACATAAGAATTTCAAAGATGTGACCCATGATTTGAACCCACTTCACGCGGATTCCCAAGCTAGCGCGTCACCACTGGGCTAACAGTGACCAATCACATCAGTAATTACATGAATTCTTTGCTTTTAATCGAACTTTGTTCAGTCAGACAAAGCATAGATAAAACAAATATGCGATAAGTTTAGTATTGTTTTATTTCAAAATTGATGTACACATGACATATTTAATTCTACACATCACCTTTAAGAGTTCAAAAAGGAAATTAATTTGAAATACAAACAGGCACTAAAATTTTATGTATATAACATGTATGTAGATATAAAATATTTGGAAGTAAATATTTTTTTTTTGTTTTTACTATAAAAAGATTATAAGTTTAAACTCAAACTCTTTCACTTTAAGTAAACCTTGACAAAAGGACTTTGGCACATATTCATTTAAAAAAAACATATTCAAATAAGAGAATACACTGCATATTAAAAACTAAAAATTTAAATTAAATTTAACGTCATTTAACGATTACACTGGCACGCGTGAAGCACTTAATCGAGTAATCATACGCCAAAATGCCTTACATCATTTTGGAAAAGAGCTGATACTCTCACACTGCTGGACCGATATTAACTAAACCACCGCAAGGAAACAGGCTTTCAAATGAAAAAAACCGCATCGAAATCAGTCCATCCGTTTGAGTTACTATGCCACAGACAGACATCGACGTCAAACTTGTAACACCTCATTTTGCATCGGGGGTTAAAAATATATAAGAGCGTACGTCCAAATTAACAAAATCTTTAAAAATTTCAAGTCGTTCAAACTTACCCGGATAGTAATCAAAGTGGACACGTTTGTGGTCAATTCTCCTCTCATCAATAGATATTCGATTAGTTTCATGGCGTGCTCACGTTCTTCGGAGCTGGCTTCGAAGAACAATTTCGCAAAACCAGGGCGGTTCACCTGTTAACATAACATTGGGAAAATTTATAAAACCTTTTTCTTTAATGCAGTATTTTTTAATAAGTTATAAATATTTGAAAGTAATGTGTATGAAAATTACACATATACTTAATTAGATATACAAAACAAATGTTCACTTAGTTATTACTGTACAAGTCATGTCCGCGTGGAATAGTGGCGAGATGCTAGCCGCATTCCCCCGCTGAATGGCAATGCCGATTCTTTGGGCGAAGAATGCGCCCGCCCTCCTGTCACCAGTAGAGGTGATAAGACGTGGATTAATATGCAGTACTAGCATTGCCCGCGGTTCCGCCCGCGTTCAGATGACCAAAAACCAAATTCTTAGGTTTTACATATTAGTATACTCTTACATTGCAGTTTTTATATTTTTGGTTTTTTTGTGATGCGGTGACAGACAGACAAAAATTCTAAAAACTATAGATTCGGCCTCTGTATCGATAATAATGTCTATTTCAATAAGATTTTCCAAAAAATATTAGCTCTCGTTAAAACTGCAAAAAAATCTCTTAAAAAGTGGTTTCATACAAATTTTCATCCCCTATTTTACCCCCTTATAGGATTCCGAAAAATGCTAAAACACGTATTTATTTAATAGTATTGAAGAGCATTAATACCAAGTTTCAAGTAATTCTGATCATAATTTTTTTTTTGCATTGCGCTTTCCCGTGAGAATTAGGTAATCTCCCGCAGTAAAAAATAGCCTATGTCACTCTACAGCCCTCCAACTATCTCCACACAAAAAATCACGACAGTCCGTCACTCTGTTTCGACGTGAAAGAAGGACAAACAAACAAACAGACTTTCACATTTATAATATTAGTATGGATTAATACAGATATGACTTAGTTATATTTTAAATATTAATATTTTAAAAGTATTATCATCCACCACACATCAGGGGTAATGTGTAATCTATATAATATAGATGGCGCCACATTACACCCAAGGGTCGGGACAGTGTTTATTTTTATATACATAGTTGTGATAATCATTCTGTAGGGCATTCCGTAGAAGTAATTAAATAAAAGTGGAATTGCTGAAACTCGTCGTTTTACTTGTAAAGTCACTAATTATAATATATATGTACATACATACACACAGGTCAAACACATAACTCTCCTTTGGGCTTCGCCGCAGATGGGATAAAAAGACAGAAGGTAATTATGAATAATATTTACATTGTAATTAAAAATTGTATATCTGTAATTAAAAACTATAATTTTTCAAATTCGCAATTATTATTTTAATTGTTGTTAGTAGCTGTATACATTTTTATTTTTTATACTTAGCACCTGCGCGACCGAGCTTCGCTCGGAGTTTTTGGCCGAAAGTACGACTTTCTTTGTAATTTGGGTCAAAAAAAAACAAACAACTTGAGTAAATACGAAAAAAAAAACAATAAAAACTTTGTATCCGATTTTAGGCACAGCGCCAGTAGCCTATGATACACCAGCTTATAATCTGTGTACTAAATTTCATCACAATCAGTCCAGCCGTTTCAAAGTAACAAACAAACAAACATACAAACTCACACATTTATAGCAATAGTCCGATGTACTTACGCTATCTTTAGAGAAGTGTGCGCCCATGGCCAAATACTGTAGCGATGCAGCGATCTCCATCTGAATCTGTTGACGGACGCTGCTCTTGCAGCCGTTCGTCATCGTGATCCAGTGCTTCGGGATGTTCACCGGATTCACATTACCTTCGAAATGTAAAACAGAATTAGGGAACGAAGTTAAATTATATAAATAAACACATAACTAATTATTTTAGCCTTGAAAGTAGTTTTCAACGTGCGTTCACCTTGTCGTGGTGGGGGGGCTCAGTATTGCCTGGCAACCCAGCCGGGCGCGAATCCAAACAATGCAGAGCCCTTTTTAACTTCCCACTGCTGGGCACGGGCCTCCCTTCAATACGGATCAGGCAGTCTACAACGCAGTAAGTGCGGAGGGGACTTCAAATATTTTTTCGATAATTTGCTAGGACAAGCAAGTTTACTCACGATGTTTTCCTTCACCGTAAGAAAAGTGGTAATCATGTTGGAAATGATTCGCACATATCAAAAACCCGGCATTGGAACCCGCTTCACTCGGTATACCAAGCAAGGACGTCACCACTGGACCACCACTGCCTTTTTCATAGTCTATACTAGGTTTATAATACTATACTATATAGGTTTTAAATTTTATCTAAATATATCCAGCGGCTTTAGTGAGGAGTATCAAACATACACATACAAACTTTCGCATTTACATATATAATATAATAAACAAGAATATTTACAAACAATACGTTTTGATTCGAGCAATCTCAAACATGACCTAGTACTATCTGGTTACAAGCCATTAGTGTAGTGCATGTTTTTCTAGCCGATAACTGTAGGAGGGTAAACAATAATCTATACGTATAATAAAATTGTAACTAAACTGAATCTGTACATTAAATATTTAATAATACAGAGGCCGAATCTATAGTTTTTAGAATTTTTGTCTGTCTGTCTGTTACCGCATCACAGATAAACCACTGGAGGGATTTTGATGAAATTTGGTATGGTTATAGCTGGCTATCCGGGTCAACGTATAGAATACTTATAACCGCGGGAAAATGTCTCAGTTCTGAGAAAAAATACAAAAACTGCAATGTAAGAGTATAGTAATATGTAAAATCTCAGAATTTAGTTTTTGGTCATGTGATCGCGGGCGGAGCCGCGGGCAATGCTAGTTAATTATAACTGGACTTATTGCTGGACTGCAATATGAAAAACAAGCAAATAGTAATATAGAAAACTTAAAGAAACCGATTGGTTTAAAAAATACTTACTAAAACGAGAGTATGTTCGCTAGTACCACTAAATATTACTTATAGGGACCGTGCGCGAAATGTAGAGGGCAGCAGTGTTGTCCCCTTAGTGTTTTATTCCCGAAGATAGTGGGATCAAAACATTCATTTGTAAACACAGAATATATATAAAAATGGAAAAAATAAAACAGTATGGATTACGACTAGTTATCAATAATATAGTACATGGTCAAAATAGTGAGAAAGGTAAAAAATATTCAAGTCCAACCATGTTTACGGTGTATGTAGAAATAAAAACTTTTTAACAAAATAATAAAAATCGACTTCAAACAAAAGCACTAAAAAGTAAAAAATAACTGATTGGTAGTTTTCATTTACTATACATACCTAATCAAATATTTTCGAAGTCGGTGTGCTTTGCTTTGTATGGGCTGGCACCGATTTTGAAAATATTTGATTAGGTATGTATTTAATAGGTAAGCTTTAATTACTTAGCCAAAGCACACCGACTTCGAAAATATTTGATTAGGTATGTATAGTAAATGAAAACTACCAATCAGTTATTTTTTACTTTTTAGTGCTTTTGTTTGAAGTCGGTTTTTATTTTTTTGTCAAAAAGTTTTTATTTTTCCCTTTTTAGTGTAGACAGTAGTAGCAAAGTAAGAATTCTAACGTGTTAGGCTTATCAAATCAATCAAAATAAGCCCAAACTCAAAGAATCTACTATTAGCCATTGAAGAGTTCCACCTATCCACCTTCTTTTTTTTCTTTTTTTTTTATGTGCGTAAAAGTACCAACAGAATTAAGCATTTTATTATAAAAAATAAAATAATTATAAAAAATAAACAATACTTAATATAAATATTGTTCAATTTTAAAATAACCAGAAAAACAAAACATTTTTTTTTAACGTTGGGAAATGCATTTACGCACGAGGTGTGGGACTCACCGGCAAAACCAGTACTACCCACTAAAACCCAACAAAACCTTCCCCCGTCTTAATGGGGCGTCGCAGGATCGCTTACGCATTCAACTACGACGCCCCGACGGCAGGTCTGCCGAAGCAGACCACAACAACCACGGGGTTGCTCCACAGACCACTCTGCTATCAGAGAAGTACCAGGAGCAACCCGCATGGTACACTGCCCTCCGAAGAGGGCCACCTCCTACCGCCCACCGAAGTGGGCCTCCTCCCTGTGCGTTTCTTGGCTTCGCGCCCGGTTGGGTTGCCGGGCACTACTGAGCCCCCCCACCACGACAAGGTGAACGCACGTTGGGGGGGACCTATCCACCTTCTGGCCTTACCATCAGATCAGGTCAACAATACCGAACCACTGTACTATCAACGGAAATAGAAACACTTGCAAAGTTTCAAGTCAATATAACAATTAGAAGTAGGTTAAATTCATCATTAGCTATTTTTCCACCCTTACGGGTGGTATTTTTTTTTTGAAATTTAAATGGGACCAATCTGGAAGTATACACTTTCAAACAACACAAAAATTGTCCAAATCGGTTAATAAATGAGGGAGTTCTAAGGTAACAAACATAAAAAAAACATACAGTCGAATTGAGAACCTCCTCCTTTTTGAAGTCGGTTTAAAAGAGAAAGATCCTTTTTTTTATTGAAAGTCGAATATCTCAGGATAAAATCGACATCGAAAAGTAATAAAAGTGTAATTGTCTTAATTTCAATCCAACTAAGTATACTTTGTATGTTAATCCATACTAATATTATAAATGTGAAAGTGTGTTTTTTTGTTTGTCCTTCTTTCACGTCGAAATAGAGTGATGGATTGGCGTTTTTTTGTGTGGAGATACTTGGAGGGTTGGAGAGTGACATAGGCTACTTTTTACCACGAGAGATTGTCTAATTCCCACGCGAACGTGTTTTCGCGTACTACTATATAATACAATCAAAAAAATATATAATCAGAATTACTTGAAACTTGGTATTAATGCTCTTCAATATAATTCAATAAATATGTGTTTTAGCATTTTTCGAAATTCATCGTATAAGGGGTTAAAATAGGGGATGAAAGTTTGTATGAAACTACCTTTTTAGATATTTTTTTGATATTTTAGCGGTTCTGCTAGTATTCTATAAACAATTCGTTAACAGAGTGTGCCAAAGAAAAAGATTACATATTATATTGCTTAAATTGTAATTTGTACATTGTCATATATTCGAAAACAAAAACACAAAACATTTAAAAAATATATATGACAAACGTGGTGACGTTGTAAAACGTGTTTTCCATTTATTTTTAATTTTCTATTTCTGTTAGCGATTTCCATTGTAGAAAGTTATCTCGGCTACGGGGTTTGATTATAAATACTGATTGATTATAGTGTATCATATACTTTTTATCTAAGATATACTGCACGATATGATTTATTGATATATACGAGTATCTAATATATCAGTTGACATATCTCGTATCTCACTAGATGATATTTACAATAAAACATCGAGATTTCAATTATTAATATAGTAGTGACTCACCCTCGCTTCGCTCGGGTTTGTCCCTAGCTTGATTCTCAAAACCAACTTTCATCCCCATTTTCACCCCTTTAAGGGATGATTTCCGGGATAAAAAGTATCCTATGTGTTACCTAGGGTCTCAAACTATCTTCTTACCCAATTTCATCTAAATCGATTCAGTTAGATCCAGAGATCCGTACAACGTCACAAACTTACAATCTCACAAACTTTACCTCTTTATAATATTAGTATAGATTGAAGTAAAAACTTCTATAGGCAGGTTTTTATGGGGGGTAAATTCATGTAAGTCGTCATCGACATGGTCACGTGACGTGTCAAGGCTAACACTCAGAGTGCCGATAGACAATTTGAATATCCAAAAATAACAACTGTTTGTTTAGTTTTAAGTTTTCACTTCTGTCGGCAGTTCACGTGACTGCTTTTTTTGTGTTGACAAAGTTTTTGTGTTTTTAGAGATTATTGGATAACTTTATAACGTGAAAGTAGGTACTACATATCTTTGTGTTGTTGCATTGACATATCATATTGATAATTAGCGATTTACCCATGCTTCGCTCGAGTGCGTCTCTAGGTACGTTTTAATTTTCTAATTAGTCTTAATTACTCCTTATAACATTAGCTATCTGCCAGTGAAAGCCCCGTCAAAATCGGTCCAGCCGTTTCAGAGAATAGTCGGAACAAACAGAAAAAAATGATAAAAAATGTGTTTTTCTATGTACCTTATATAATTTCATTTGAATTTAGTAAAAAGCTGTTATTTTGACATTACAAACAGACACTTCAATTTTATTTATCTTTATAGATAAAACATCGAGATTTCAAATCATTTTTAAAAATGGAGTGTTAGGGAAGAGCAAAATAAACAATAATAAATTATAATCTATACTTCCATACTAATATTATAAAGAGGTAAAGTTTGTGAGTTTGTGACGTTGTAGGGGGTAATCTCTGGATCTACTGAACCAATTTAGATGAAATTTGGTGAGAAGATAGTTTGAGACCCGGGGAAGAACATGGTATACTTTTTATCACGGAAATCATCCCTTACGGGGGTGAAAATGGGGATGAAAGTTTGTATGTGGAATCAAGCTAGGGAAGAACCCGAGCGAAGCGAGGGTGAGTCACTAGTATTATTAATATTTTTTGTATTGACTAAGTTTTTGTGTTTTTACTTTTTAGACATTATTGGATAACTTTAAACGCAAGTCAAAGTTCTACGATAACTTCGTATCGTTGCATTGACATATTGATAAATAATATCTCAAGTATCAAGACAGAAAATCTTAAAGCAACGAATCAAGCAACTATATTACATTTATTAATAAAACAAAATGATAAAATAAGACAAAACACAATTTTCTTTGTTTTATTTTTCATTTAAAAAAAACAATGACGAT